CTGCAGTCATTTTCATTAACTCTTCCAGTCTAATCAGTTACAGTTAAAGTCAAGAGGTTAAGAGGATAGACTTCATTGCAACAGGTTTTATCCCATATGGCTCGGTCGTCTCTATCTGCAGAATGGCAGCTGCTTGCTGAGAGCATCACACAAAAGACAAGCTTCATAGCTCTAGTGTTGATCCTTAGGGATCACTCAGGAGTAAAAGTTGTACTTGTGAAATTAACGCCGCAGCCATGAAATAAACCCCTGACCTTCAGAGCGAGAGGTTTATGGCTTGACCCCTTTACCAAAGAGATCCCCAACCTAATCAGTCTAATCAGCTAATCACAATTTCAACTTCACTATACTGGATATTACACCTCTGCACCAGACAATGTTTTGTATATTGCTTCATCTCAAGTGATAGGGTTTCTCTTGGTGGTGTCCGACTCCAGGATATTAGGTCACACATTTTTTTGGGGCAGTAATTTGCACCTGGTACCCACTCAAGGCTGGGTCGACCTGGTAGTCAAGGTCGTTTTTGAAAAAAAAAAGTTTAACTCCGTCAGGACACAAACCCACAACCTTCCAATCCGCAGGTGGGTGTCTAGCTGCCAACGCCGCAAGAGTTAATATATGTTTGTAACCCAGTTTGGGTTTTGGGACCCCATTTTGGGGGAGGGGAGAATAGGTCCCCTCCCCCTAACAAGCATTTCGTAAAAGGGGACTAATTAGGAGTGTTTCCTTCAAAGTCAGAGTAAATATGTCTAAGAGGAAGATAACCAGCAGTCTGCATTCATAAAAGACACATCTGTAATGGATGTCCATGCAAAACTCAAGTGCTAGAACAAGACCAATGTTCAGAAGTGAACAAACAACCTGAACTTTCCACTAAAGTTTACAGCTGATTAACACTAAGAAGAAAAAGAAGTATGCAAGTGTATAATCTGTTTATTTGTTTGACAGCACTTGCTGGTAACATTGTCTTATCTGTTTGTTTGTCAATACTTGCTGGTAACATTGTCTTATCTGTTTGTTTGTTTGTCAGTACTTGCTGGTAACATTGTCTTATCTGTTCACTGTCATTGATTGCTACAGGCTAAAGCAGACACTATTGATGCCCTAGAGAAGTACCGAGGACGTTGCGAACCAACATTTTTATTCTTTGCTGTGAGTATCTTCTTCATTCATATCCTCTCTCACATAAGATTCTTCTAATAAAGTTTTTGTTTATACATTTCGTACTACTTGAAGTATATTATTATATTGATTTGCCGTTTAACACATTAATAATAATAATAATGAAATTGATGTGGTGAATGGCAAAATAAATACAATATGGCGGCATGCCATTTTGCAGTTTATATTATCAATTTCATTTTAAATTACCCTTCATAGTTTTTACAGTATCTGCAACTTTAGGCATATAGGGCTAGACCAAAAACTTTCATAGGCCAATTGGCACAAGATGGGTGATTTGGTCAACATCAAGCCGACCGCCTCTACTTCCCAGGACCGGCCGGTTCATACTCAAGGCTAGGTCAACCTGGGAGCAAATGTCATTTTTGAAAAAAAAGTCAGGGCCACCAGGGAGCAAACCCACGACCTTCTCATCTAGCTGCTCGGCCACGGCGACTTTCACATGCCAGTCTGGTGGTTATATAATTGAATCTACCTGCATGTAAACACTGAGGTACTAGAAAGAGCAGTGATTACAACAGTTTTTTTTATTGCTCAGTCTCCGAAGGCCCGGGTGGCTGGGTCACACCCAGAGAATGGAGGATGGCAGAGTCCTTAAGGATATCCTCTGTGGTGAAGTACAGATGGGTAGAAGCTGTCAATGTTAGCCTCTACTACGATATAAAGATGGGTGCAAGTGGGATATGACTGATACAAGTATTGAGGTAGATTCATTGGAACAAAATGCCATGGGCCATGTTGTGTGGAAGGGAATGACAATGAATGAAGAAATTATTGAAGAAAGGTTGAGAGCTGAGCATCTGAGAAGAAACACACTATGGGTGTAAGCCATATGTGCTCTGTTCTACTTCTAACTCAAACCTGAGTCTGAAGTTTTTATTTTTAACTCCAGATTTTGCCCAAGCAGCGCTGTTAGGCTACTCTTTTTCAATTTCCAACTGCCAAGGGATTTTTTTTTAACATGCGCAACAATACACACGGGCATCCGGTCCTACTACCCAGAGACCATGGGAAATTACTAGAAGTCCACGTGAAAAAATCCCAGCCTTCGTTGTGGTTTGAACCCGGGATTCTAGCACTAGAGGTGGACACCGTACCTTGAGACCGCTTAGTCTCCTTAATGAAAGAAAATGTTCTGAGAAATCTAGCATGATATTGATAGTGTCACTTGTTAAATTGTTAAATGCTGTCCTTGCTGTATGTGCTAAGAAATTTTTGAGGACTTTGAAATAACTTGAAAGGTAAATTCACAGGTATTTGAGTTAAGTTGATTCAAGACCGACATCACAGCACTCGGAGAATTTCCATAAGCACTCCATCCCCATCTTCAGCAGCTAGCGCATTGTTCAAATACCAAGGTGCCAATAACTGTCTGATTATATGTCCAACTTGCCTTTCCTCTGAACGTCAAGTATCGGTCAGATCCCTGCATCACTCCTCACTGCATCACTCTCACCAGATGTTATGATCAGTTTGCTGTTTCGAATTGTACGCATGCTCCCATATGGCCTTAACCACATCTGCTTTATCATGCATTAGTCGTCTACTGGCCAGCCGATGGGCGACCTGGTCACCAATGTTATCTAATTTGTAATGATAAAGCTTAAAGGCTTATATAATCTACAATGTTGAATTCTGTCATTAAAATATCCATTTATCTGTCTGCAGGGTAGAATTCTGTCATTAACATATGTGTTTGTCTGTCTGCAGGGTGGAATTCTGTCATTAAAATATGTGTTTGTCTGTCTGCAGGGTGGAATTCTGTCATTAAAATATGTGTTTGTCTGTCTGCAGGGTGGAATTCTGTCATTAAAATATGTGTTTGTCTGTCTGCAGGGTGGAATTCTGTCATTAAAATATGTGTTTGTCTGTCTGCAGGGTGGAATTCTGTCATTAAAATATGTGTTTGTCTGTCTGCAGGGTGGAATTCTGTCATTAAAATATGTGTTTGTCTGTCTGCAGGGTGGAATTCTGTCATTAAAATATGTGTTTGTCTGTCAGCAGGGTGGAATTCTGTCATTAAAATATGTGTTTGTCTGTCTGCAGGGTGGAATTCTGTCATTAAAATATGTGTTTGTCTGTCTGCAGGGTGGAATTCTGTCATTAAAATATGTGTTTGTCTGTCTGCAGGGTGGAATTCTGTCATTAAAATATGTGTTTGTCTGTCTGCAGGGTGGAATTCTGTCATTAAAATATGTGTTTGTCTGTCAGCAGGGTGGAATTCTGTCATTAAAATATGTGTTTGTCTGTCTGCAGGGTGGAATTCTGTCATTAAAATATGTGTTTGTCTGTCTGCAGGGTGGAATTCTGTCATTAAAATATGTGTTTGTCTGTCTGCAGGGTGGAATTCTGTCATTAAAATATGTGTTTGTCTGTCTGCAGGGTGGAATTCTGTCATTAAAATATGTGTTTGTCTGTCTGCAGGGTGGAATTCTGTCATTAAAATATGTGTTTGTCTGTCTGCAGAGTGGAATTCTGTCATTAAAATATGTGTTTGTCTGCCTGCAGGGTGGAATTCTGTCATTAAAATATGTGTTTGTCTGTCTGCAGGGTGGAATTCTGTCATTAAAATATATGTTTGTCTGTCTGCAGGGTGGAATTCTGTCATTAAAATATGTGTTCGTCTGTCTGCAGGGTGGAATTCTGACCAGTTACATTCATGGAGCTGATGCACCCAAGGTTCAGAAGGTCATAACAGAGCAGTTAGCCTCAGAACACAAAATCTTAGAAGGAACGGGGGAGAGAAAAGAGGTCAGTATGAATGTGCATTCGAAATGTTACAGAGGAAATATGTGCAGTCTTTTATTATGTATCAATTTTTAATTTTTTCAAATATTATTTTATCTCTTCTGGTTTATATATTTTTTCAATGTTATATTATTGGTTCTATTGTACTCTGTTTTATGGCCTATTTTATGTTTGTCTATCTGTTCTGTTTTAAATTATTTTCTTTATATTTTACTGATTTAATCTGTTCTATTTAAAATTATTTGATCTCCGTGTGGGGATACCAGGATCCCTTTATGAGGGCACAAAGAATTGACCCACTACCACTCCTAACAGGCATGTCGTCAGAGGTAAACAATTGAAGGCGTTTCTTTTAAAGTCAGAGTGAATGTGCTTGAGAAGCATACAAATAAGCCAAATAAAGCAAATGAATGTGCATCCAAAACTCAAGTTCTAGAACAAAATAAAAGTCCAGAAGTTGACGAACAACGAAAAACTTTCTGCCGGAGTTTACCGCTGGTGATATGAAAGTCACATTGTGGAAGAGTTTGGGACCTCATCTCATAATATTCCCAAAGACAGCAGTCAGTACACATATTCCATCCACTGTAGTGAACCTCCATTGTAGATATTAAACACAATTAAATTAATATTGTTTGTGGCAGGTCAAGGACCCTGTAATAACCCGAGAACAGGAGAAGATGATTGAAAGACTCGCTGAAGAGGAGGCTTTGAGACTAGCTGAAGGTGAGTTCTTCGATGGGGTCTGTCTTCAGAATATGAAATACCAAACGTGTGCTGCATCATGTTTTTTACATCCAGGAGAAGATTTCAGATCCAGGTCTGGCTGGTTGGCTTTCCAGTGGAACCCAAGCTGAATGGATCAGTCGAGGGCATGTGTTGTGTCATGACCTTCATAGGGACCTGTGGCCCTCTCAAGTGAAAACCACTTGTGGGGAGAATGAAAAGTATAAGCGGCGGCAACTTTAGAAAACTGTTTAATGGATCAAATTATTATGTTTACTTTAAAACATATGGCTGATGGTTTCAAAGGTTAATTTGTTCTTTAGAGCTTATGGCAAAGAGATTACAAGATTATGCATGCTGTTTAACTTTATAGCTTAAATAATATAAAATTGCATGTGGTTAAAAAGGTGTAGCAGAAACATTTAGAAGACTATTCAGACTTTAAAACTTCTAGCTCAAAGGTCAAAATCAAAGTAAAATCAAGATGAGTGCAGAAACATGGTAGCGGATAGAAGCTCTCCGGCTGGTACAGAAGTCAAGTTTTGAAATTCACATTGAGGCAGATTTTTTTTTTCACACTTGATCCAGTCTAAAATGCTTGCAGGTATTGGCTTGGGAAGTAAAGGTGACTGTCGAGATGGTGACCTCATCAAGTGCCAGAAGGTCTATGAAAATTCTGATCCTAGCATCAAATCCCTGATGTCCCACTGGCGTAGAAAGGTTCCTTTACTTTACTGAAATCAAAACGCGGATATCTTGTCATAGAATTCTCTTCCCACACAAGACAGCAGGTAACTTTGGGTAATCCCAAAGTGCCCCAATGTAACTGTCTCAGAGGGTTGAACAGGGTTACTCTTTAAGTCACTGTGTTTTAAAGCTTAAGGTTCGGGAGGACGGGGTATGAAGAGAAAATATTAGGATAAATAGCTATAAATGCAAAAATAAATGTAATCTTCTCCGGTATTTGCCCTTGACTCTATTAGCACCAAGGAAGTCACCATACACTGATTGATTTCACTAAATATGCAACACATATCTTTGTTTTCTTTATCCAGTTATTCTGTTATGTTAACCCCCTTTATTGTCCAGATGTTACTTAATAACCTTCACTCCAAGAGATGTATTTCTCTGTGGGACTAAAAACATATTGCTCTAGGATACACGCACTTTAGCATAGACAACTTTGAATTTAACACTATCTGGGACTTAGAGAGTTAAAGAGCAGTCCTGTGGTTGACAGCTAGGTTATGATATCTGTATTTTTCAGCCCAACACATCCAGTTTTAGCAAAGTGTTAATTAGTCGGATTCTACGACATGCTTATTAAGGAAGCATGCGTCTAATCTCCCACCACCCTTCCCCCTCCACCAATGAGTCCTGAACCCAAGCCAGAAATCATGGTAACTTAGAAATGGCACTGTGGCTTGCCGTCCTTGTGGTCCAGGTTTATGCTCGGACCATATGCAGAGGTAAGACAAACACTTTAACATATATAGCAAGCAAAGGTTGCAAAGAAGACAACAGGTCACCCTGTCTCATAATATAGTGACTCCATCTTATTACGGCCTTACTCACACTGGGATTAGTTGTACCTCATGTTCAGAGGTAAGCCTTCCAACACTAGCTCTTGAATACTCACCTCTGATATTTTATGTGACCTTGAATACTCATTCCTGATATTTTATGTGACCTTGAATGCTCACCACTGATATTTTATATGACCTTGAAAACTCATTTCTGATATTTTGTGTGACCTTGACTACTCAACCCTGATATTTACAATGTGCTTAAAAATACTCACCTGAGACCTGAATTTCCAATGTCCTTAAATACTCATCTTTCCATCGGTGAGTCAGGATCTGCCTATCCAAGCATGCAAAGACTATTGTCCGCAGAATGCGCGGAGGAAACCATATTTGGTTCAACCGGCAAGACGGCGACACGAGCAAAGAGCTGTGGAGCATATAAAGCATGGCGAGGCACGTAGAGCGCCCTTGTCATCCACTGCACCTAGACCTATCTCCAGTTGTCTTGACTCTGTCTTGCCACTGGACCCAGATATGATTCAGGCAAGAGAGTGAGGTCGACGAGACGGCGCAACTCTTGTTGACTTTAATCCAAGTCACTACGCAAGTCACTCTTTCATCAAAAGGCTTCAAGGACACCTTGAAGTCTTCACTCAAAGCATTTGGGATGAATGACACCAATTGGGAGGCTGCCTCTCAAGACCGAAATGCATGACGTTCAGCTCTACACAAGGGCGTGGCTACATGTGAAGCAAAGAGAACAGCAAGACTTATTAAGAAAACAATAGACAGAAAAGCCAAGAACTTTTCGGGCCCGCATCGGCTTCATCAGTCATCTTCGTACTCATACTTGTTGAAAAAGAGTGGTCATCATCATATTGATGGACAACACACAAATACTCACCTCTGACATTTCTTTTGTTCTTGAGCACTGATCCCTGATGTTTCCTGTGTTCTTGAATATTCACCCCTGATATTTCCTATATCCTTAAATAATCACATCTGATGTGATCTAAAATTCTCACCCAGTATCCTGATATTTCCAATATCCTTGAACACTCACCCCTGATATTTCTTTTCTTATTGAATACTCGTCCCTGATATTTCCTATGTCTTTGAATACTTATCCGTGATATTTCCTATTTCCTTGAAAACTCACCAGTGATATTTATTTTGTTCTTGAACTCTCACCCCTTGCTATTTCCATTTTTCTTCTTGAATTCTCACCTCTGATATGCTTTCAAAATCTTTCTTGAGTAATCTCTTTTGATATTTCTGGTGCCCAAGAACCTTCCCCACCTTCTAAATTTATATTATAATATGTAGAATTATAATATGTGGTTTTATTATTCTACAGCTGCCAGATATGAGACAAGTATGTGTGCTCATTTTTTGGCTGTTGCCTGTTAATATTTCACAGTTTATGCTGAACTGAGTTACTTGTGTTATTAGTTTCACATTGTGGTTGTGTGTATGATTTTGAATTCTAACTTAAATCTGAAAGACATACAGTTATGTGTAATCACAGTTAATAATTCGAGCGCTGCATGGTCTCAAGGCATGTTGTCCACCTTGAGTGCTAGAGGTGCCGGGCTCAATCCCTGGCGAGGGCTGGGATTTTTTTCACATGGATTTCTAGTAATTCCCCCTGGTCTCTGGGTTGTGAGATCGGACACCTATGTGCATTGTTGCGCACATAAAAAATCCTTTGGCGGTTGAAAATTGAAAAGAGTAGCTTACTGGCACCACACTGGCAAAATTTTGAGTTAAAAATCTACCCAAAGTATTTCAGGATCCTTGCTGGTGCTACAGAGCTTGTGCACTGTAATGAGCTTTTTCAGCCTCAAACTTGAGTTAGAAGAAGAACGGAGCTCTTATGGGTTACTACCCATGTGCCATGATGTTGATTCATTGTTCAAACCTCAAACAGTTAATAATTAGAGTGCTGCATGTTGAAGTAGTTATACATTGGTGCATTGTATGGTGCTGTTGACAAATAACAGAGACATATGGGATAAAACCTGGTGCGGTAGAGTCATTTGTCTTGCACATGTCATTCTTTTTTATTTCATGTTTGGTCACAGTGTGTACAAATATTCTGGCCATTTCAAAACTTGTATATTTCCTAGAGCTGACCTGGCACACAATTGTCTGTTTTTGGTAAAACTGTAAGTGAAGAACAAAATGTGAAATTGTGAAGTGGGACTTTAAAAGTTAAGAACATAGGGTTTGTTTTTCTTACAGATAACATCAGACTGGGACAGAAAATATAAGACCGGGACAGATAACATCAGACTGGGACAGAAAATATAAGACTGGGACAGATAACATCAGATTGGGACAGAAAATATAACACTGGGACAGGAAACATCAAATTGGGACAGAAAATATAAGACTGAAACAGGAAACATCAAACTGGGACATATAACATCAGATTGGGACAGAAAATATAAGACTGGGACAGGAAACATAAGACTGAGACAGCTAACATCAGATTGGGACAGAAAGCATAAGACTGGGATATAAAACATTAAACTGGGACAGAAAATATAAGACTGGAACAGAAAACAGGAGGCTGGGACATAAAACATCAGACTCGGGCATAAAACATGAGACTGCAAGGAAATTAGATTGGAAACCCAGAGTAGCCATATCCACTGTGCCAGTTACCCTCTGAAAGTATTGAAGCATGGTGTTTTAAAAAAAATTCTTTCTGTTGTGATTTTTTTGGTCTGTATTTGTCTGCTATGAACCATTCTTGGTTGCATATTCACAGCTATCTTTTGAAATATTTTATGGTGAGGCCCAAGGATCTTTCACAGTAAGACTTCTGTACCATTACCTAAGAGACACAAGTGCTATGTACTGTGCAAACAACGCACTTTAAAACAAAACAAACCATCCACTTTTATGTCCATGATATGAGTGTGTGCTGGACTGTTCTCAGAGTGCCCAGATCATGGATTTTCCACCAAGGATATTCTTGTGAGCAGGGCCATGAGCAGGCTGACAGATTGGCTGCTGCTCTTGGTAGACTGCTATTTTATGACAAAATGGATGCAATGAAGATTCTCTGGGTTAAGTGGACAGTGCAGATTATCCATCCATAGAAACATTGATTCAGCAGGAAGTCAGCAGAGGGTCTGGATGGTTTTCCTTGCACGCAGGGAAAGAAAAAAGGTAGACTTTAAGTCAGGTCGCAGCTTGCACCTTCAGTATGAGAATTCTTCTCTGGTTACTGAGAGAGGAAACAAAGTGTCCCCAAGTGTGGTGATGTCCCTTAACCAAGTGTGGTGATGTCCCTTAACCAAGTATGGTTGATATCCCTTAGCCAAGTGTGGTGATGTCCCTGAACCAAGTGTGGTGATGTCCCTTAGTCAGTTCATTTATTCATTCCATCATTGTTTTCAGAGCCTGTTGGATACACAGTTGCCTTCATCAAGCCTGATGCTGTAGCTGCAAACAAGGTCGATGACATAATTGCTGAGGTACAAAATGTTAATACATTTATTGCGATGACAAGGTACTGGAACCTGGTGGCTTATGGCAATGAGAGCCAACTCTCCTCCCCCCCTCCCCTCAAAAGTAATTCAGAGGAGGGAAGGCTCAAATACCACCTTCCCCCTCCTCAGATGTGTAAGAGGTTAAGCTGCCTCCCCCCTCCCTCCCCTAACCATGATTAGAAGTTGTTGTTGTTTTTTTTTTTAATTTCTGCATTTCATATTATTTCAGATGTATTATTATATTTATTTGCCATTCAGCACTTTATTATTATACACTTAAATAAGCTTTAGTCTTTGACCTAGTTAATAATGTGTAAGGGAGCTGAGCTCCTAACCCACCCTAAAGTTTTTGTGGCTCCTGTAATGAGATGAATTGGGAGATGGTTAATGAGCTAGAGAAAGGTGGCAGAAGAGACATTCTCAATGAAGTGAAGTGAGAAACTGGCAATGAGGTAAACAGCAGAGAGATTGTTAATGAGATAAAGAAGGATGTAGTTAATGTGAAGTATAACATTATTAAAGAGTAAAGTAAGAGATTTTTACAGAGATAATTTAGTAATGAGATAACACAAAAGACTGTAATAAGATGAAGTTATGAATTTTAAATGAAGTGAATACATATTTATTCATTGGATGAGGAAGAGATTGTTAATTAGACAGCTTCGAGATTGCTAATAAGGAGAAATGAAACATTTCTCAAGAAGTGATGTGAGATATTAATGAGGTTTAAGTGAGAGATTATTAATAACAGAGATATATATAATAATAATAGGAATATCTCAAAACAAAGCCAGTTGTGTTGAAGATCTATGTTGAGTTTTTAATTTAAATTCATTGGCCAGATAAAAGAAAACAACATAACAGTTCTGGCAGAACAAGAAAGGGACATCACTCAGGAGGAAGCCATGGTCATCTACTCCAGTCTTCACGATGAGGTTGGTAGAGTTGTATGAGAGAGGAAGCAAAAAAAGGAGGGAATGAGAATGAGAGAGATAGAGAATAAAACAAGGGAGCAAAAAAAGAGGGAGAATGAGAAAGAGTGAATGAAAGAGAGAGAAGGGGAATTAGAAAGAATTAGTAAAAGAAAAATAGAAAGGGAAAGAGCAAGGAGAATAAGACAAAGTGTGTTGGAGAGAGTGAATACTTACAAATTTTTTTTTTTTTATTTTCAAAATTTTTAGCGTTATTTTTTTTAAATATTGGAAGAGAACAATATGTTAACATGCATTAAAGTATCAACAGTCTGCTGCAGATCGGCCACCTTGTCTTGCCAGGTAAGAGCCATCAATTAGAAAGGTCTGTGTTTTTCTTTCACACATTAAAATAATAATGTGGTTTTATAGACAAATGATAAGAATATCATGGACAGATTTTTTAAAAAGTGTAATGAAGAGAGAAATGAAGTCATGAAGAGAACTGATTACCCAATCACTGGGAAACCAATTTTTTGTCACATTGTGAGAAGGAGCAAACTGGAGTGCATCAAAATTGGTGGGAAAGTTGGAAGGGTAAAGGGCAGAGGCTGGCAGAGATGAGACAAGATGCTGGACTGTTTGACAGCTTGGCATGTAGATCATCTATGCCAGAAATTATTGCAGATACATGTGACAGATACATTGTGGATAATCAGGACTATCAAAGCCACACAGCAGGGACTATAAGAGTAGAAGAAGAAGCATGTTAAAATGCTCACCTGTTATAAACTGCAGTTTCCTTTTGAACAGAGTAAAAGAAATAGCACATTTAATCATGTCTGTCACAAACACAAAAACACAGTAAAGATCACAACCTGTTCTTGAATTTAAAGAAAACAAAAATAATTGTCCACAGATGAAACTGTCACCCAAAAAATAACAATTTATAATGAAGAAATTGAAAATGTCACAAACTTGGATATCTAGGCTCAGAAATAAACAGCAAAGGAGACTATTCAGCAGAGGTCCAAAAAAAAAGATGGCCATAACAAAACAAAGATTCAACAGCATTAACAGTCTATGTTTAAGCACCAGCAAGGAAATCAAAATGTTAAGAGTGCATTTTCACTGTAGCAACATATGGATGGGAGTTATGGACTATCTTGCAGACCTTAAGGAAGAAAATAGGGGCTTTTGAGCTAAAATGCTATAGAAAGATTCTCAGACTACAATGGACAAAGAAGAAAAGAAATACTGACATCCTAAAAGATTTGAACATCAAGGAAGATTGGCTAATAAACAGCGTCAAGTCTCAGAAGGTGAAATATTTTGGCCATATGAAGCACCACAATGGATTTTTTTTTTAAAAACAGCAGAAAGCATAGTGCCAGGAAGAAGAAGCAGGAGCCAACTAGCATGGGAACATTATATGACTCCTTGGGTATGAAAGTGCATGAGGTGGGAGAGTTGACCAGAGATTGAGTTTCTCTTAGGCAGACTGTTAGTTAGTTAGTTAGTCGACAGATTATCATCATCGCACATTGAACCGTTCAGCCCATAAGTGCTCAGATCCCCTCTTCAGTATCTGTCGAGAGTTTAATGGCTTATGACAACAGTTCTGTGTTGGTTTACTATTCTTCTTTGGGCCTCTGTGTAACGCTCTTCTCTAGCTTCACCCCTTCTCATCTTGTGTTCGTGTAGTCTGGTCAGTGTTGCAGATTCACAATCATTACTTGATTCGTTTAATTGAGTCGTCTCTCTGAGGGCATTCAGTATATCAGCCCTGTCCATCGCTCGTCTGTTTCCCACGTGAGCATCATTTGCAAGTCTGTCAACTCATTTATTGTCCTTTATACCAGAATGCCCAAGAACAAAAATAAAACTGATTTTTTTCAGCCTAGAACTATTCAGGATCTCCACACATTAAGGCAGACTGTGATGAGAGCCATGTTCTGCAAAATATCTGCTACAAGATGATGATGTTATAAACTGCAAAAATTCAAGCAAAAACTATCAGATTACCTATACAAACAAAAAATGTTTACTGCCTGCATCTGCAATGTTTATGGCGATGAAAGATGGGGTTACTGGGAAAGGGGGTATCTTGAGAATTAGATTTGAGTATTAGAGACACTTGGCTAGCGCAGTCCCCATGCTCTTTTGGACTTTTATTTTTGTACAAAACAGGGGAAAAAAATGTTCTTCACATTATTGAAGATTCCAGCCTGGTTTACTAGCATGAGTTTCACAATTCCCCGTGTGGTTTCTGGGGCCCATTTAAGGCGTATTGGGCATATAGTTCTAGACCTATATTTGATAGAGCAATCGACACTCGGTGGGTGATGTGGTTATCATCATCCGGTCACCATTTTATCCCAAGACTTTGGGTACCAGATAGAGTCCTGGGAAGTAAAAGCGGTTAACCTGATATTGACCGCATCACTCACTGAGTGGCTGACTGGCCTATAAAATATAGGTCTTGCCGTTTATCCCCAATGTGCAGGAAGGCAAGGAAAAGGGTCCTTTACTTACTTTCTTACCATATGCTAGGTGTGCCAATGGCATGAAAAAAATCATTTTACTTTGATTTTTTTTTTTTAATCATCTTTCTTTTCACTTTATCTAGACCAGGGCTTGCTAGCGTAGTTGGTTAAACCTGACTTTGCGGCAACTGGGTGACAAACACCTTGTGGTCCAGGTTCACGCCTGTGTGTTGGCAGAAAAGCCATATTTCTCTCATCATTTACGGTATCCTTCATGGAATCAAGGCCAAAGGGTTGCAATATCCATAATACCTAACCATAGGGTTAACAACTCATGGTTTCTGGATTTAAAAAAAAATATAGATCAGGGCTATTCAACTAGCGACCAAATATGGCCCACCAAGACCTTGGTAGTGGCCCGTGGATCATTGCCAGCTGTACTGTTATAATGATCTTTCTATGCTCTGGCTCAGTTCTGTGGCCCGCGACCATCCCCATCTTCAAAATTTTGGCCCCTTATTGAACTTAGTTAAATAGCCCCGATCTAAACGCTGCTTATCCTTAGGTTTTAAAGAAGCATCTAGTGTAAGTATTGTTGTTGACTGTGTAGATACTGATATTTTTAAGACCTCAAATATTCCGTCTGTCCATCCTTTGCATGGTCAACCTCTAGCGGCTTTGTTTGTGTCTGAGTATGACAGGATTCTCTGTGGTCACCTGTCCTGTGACAGTCTTGACACATGTCTGAACCATCTGATCCATTGTCTCTTGATTTAGTTTTTTAGTCCTGACTTATTTCCTGATATTGTTATTTCTGATCCTCCCTTTTTTTTTTCCCCCCATAACTATTTCAGCCCTACTACGATGATCTCATTAGATTTATCACCAGTGGGCCATCACATCTGATGTTATTAACAGTTGGGGAATCAGGAGTTACTTCCGTCAAGGACTGGAAGGAATTACTGGGACCCAGCAATGTGGAGCAAGCTAAAGAAGAGGCACCATCCAGGTAAAGAGATACAGAGGTTTTGTTTTCTGAGAATGGGGAATGGAACTTGGGTGTCACCAGGCAGAGTTTTAAAATATGCTTGGTTCTGTCAGTATCAAGAGAATGGTTTTTTTTAATACACATTATCTATTGTTTATCTACCAGTTTGACTGCTGAAGTTGCAAGATGCGAGCCAAGTAGCAACTGGTCTAAATGCTTGGCTAGTATGATACATAAATTATCCTCTTTTGTTTGGCATGCATTATCAGAAGCAGAGATACACTAGACAACTTAAAAATTGAAAGCTACAGTTACTATAAAAAGTAAAAGTGAAGGACCCTGTTGTACGCATTCAGGTGTGTTGGGCATATAGGGCTAAACCTATATTTTATAGACCAGTAGGCACTCAGTGGGTGATGTGGTCAGCATCACACCAGCCACCTTTACTTCCCAGGACTAAACCTGGTACTCACTCAATCCTGGGTTGATCTGGGAGCCAAGGTCATGTTTTGAAAAAAAAAAAGTCAGGCTCCATTAGGATCTGAACCCACGACTTTCTGATCGGCAGTTTAGATCTGCTGTCTAGCCGCTCCACCAGGACGACTTTCTGATCGGCAGTTTAGATCTGCTGTCTAGCCGCTCCACAATGACGACTTTCTGATCCGCAGTTTAGATCTGCTGTCTAGCCGCTCCACCAGGACGACTTTCTGATCCGCAGTTTAGATCTGCTGTCTAGCCGCTCCACCAGGACGACTTTCTGATCGGCAGTTTAGATCTGCTGTCTAGCCGCTCCACTATGACGACTTTCTGATCGGCAGTTTAGATCTGCTGTCTAGCCGCTCCACTATGACGACTTTCTGATCCGCAGTTTAGATCTGCTGTCTAGTCGCTCCACTATGACGACTTTCTGATCAGCAGTTTAGATCTGCTGTCTAGCCGCTCCACAATGACGACTTTCTGATCCGCAGTTTAGATCTGCTGTCTAGCCGCTCCACCAGGACGACTTTCTGATCGGCAGTTTAGATCTGCTGTCTAGCCGCTCCACTATGACGACTTTCTGATCAGCAGTTTAGATCTGCTGTCTAGCCGCTCCACCACGACGACTTTCTGATCGGCAGTTTAGATCTGCTGTCTAGCCGCTCCACCATGACGACTTTCTGATCCGCAGTTTAGATCTGCTTTCTAGTCGCTCCACTATGACGACTTTCTGATCGGCAGTTTAGATCTGCTGTCTAGCCGCTCCACCATGATGACTTTCTGATCGGCAGTTTAGATCTGCTGTCTAGCCGCTCCACCATGACGACTTTCTGATCCGCAGTTTAGATCTACTGTCTAGTCGCTCCACTATGACGACTTTCTGATCGGCAGTTTAGATCTGCTGTCTAGCCGCTCCACCATGACGACTTTCTGATCCGCAGTTTAGATCTGCTGTCTAGCTGCTCCACCATGACGACTTTCCGTAGTTACTGTATTAGGACTCAAATCTGTTGCCTCCAGTGAAGAAATTATGCCTCTGTCTGGGAACAAATGTACTTTGACTCATGACCAACTCATTACAACTAAAGAAAAGGAATCATGAAAAAGAAAAAAAAAAAGGCCAGCAATGACACGTTTCTTTTAAAGGGGTAAGTTGATCTTGAGTTGAAGTACACTAGTTCCTGCAATAAGGTGCCATTTTGACTTGGTGGCAACAAGTTTGAGTCTCTGTAGATTTCATTTTTGGGGAGTCTAGTGTTTAAATTTGGCTATATCTTGGCTTTTTTTCTTGTTGTAAATCTGGTTTTGTCTTGACTTCCCTTGTTTTTGTCTGGTATTTTCTTGTTCAGTCTGAGAGCTAAGTACGGAGATAAAGGCTTCATGAACGCACTTCATGGATCTGCAACTAAAGATGCTGCAGTCAGGTATGATATTTTTGAGTTATCATCATCATCATCATCATAACTACTATCATCATGAACATTATCATCAAGTACATTGTCACACTCTAATCATGTACATCATCATCATTTTTATCATCAACGTCATCATTAATGTCATCATCTTCATCATCAATGTCATCATAATCATCAGTGTTGTCACCATCAGTGTCAACACCATCATTATAATCATCATCAGTATTATTATCATCATTGTTATTATCATCATGTACATCATCATAATCATTATAATCATGTACATCTTCATAATCATTATCATCATGTACATCATCATGGCTGCCTCCCTCATCCTACTCATCATCATAATCATCATCATCTTTATAATTTTTTCATCACCATCTGAGACATACACCAGAGTGTATGTCTATTCTACATGTCCAGCTGTTGTTTGTTGTTCGTCCATCTCAAGTGATGATGACCAGTCCTTTCATCCAGTGTTGACTGGGTTAAGTTTTATGAGTGCGCAGATGGCTGGTAAGGCCAATTCTAGCACTGAAAGTTTTTGAGCAATGTGGACAGGGAATTGAAGCTGCATCTCTCTGGTGATTTGTTCAGTGTCTTTCTTGGCTCATCTTCTCTGAATTGCTGCTGCAGCTTCATGTGCCACAGCTCCTCGATAAAGAGAGGAGCGCCAGGATGAGCGGTCATATGCAGTGACTTCCCAGGTTTTAGGATCAATACAGAAGTCTTTCAGTGAGGTCTTGGGGGTGTCCTTGAAACGTTTCTTCTGTCCACCTTGAGCGTGTTTTTATTTTAGTAGCTCACCATAGAAAATTCTTTTTGGCAGTCCATGGTCCGGCATTCGGACTATATGACCTGCCCAGTGAAGTTGCGATTGTTTTAGAATCAAGTAAATACTGGACAGTCCAGCTCTGTCAAGGACTTCAGTGTCAGGGATCCTGTCTTGCTATTTTATGTTCATCAGCTTTCTGAGGTATATTGTGTGGAAATGGTTCAGCTTGTTAGCATTGTGCTGGTAAACCGTCCATGTTTCTCACTCATAGAGAAGTACAGGAAGTACAACAGCTCTGTGCACTTTGAGCTCAGTCTGCAGCCTGATGTCAGCTCTGTTCCAGACTTTTGAACGAAGTCTCTAAATGCGCTGCTGGCTTTGGATATCAGTATTGATCTGTAGATCAATGTTAACTTTCTGAGCTAGTAAGCTGCCAAGATTTGTGCTTTAGTGCTTTGCCCTTGACTGTGATGTTTGATTCAGGTAGACCTATGCCTAGGGCTGGCTGGAACATTATTTCAGTTTTGTCAGTGCTTATGACAAGCCCACAATTTGTACAGGTTTAGGATAAATTGGTTACACTAAGTTGTAGTTCAGGCTCTGAGTTGGCACAGATAGCACAGTCATCAGTGAGAAGTAATTCTCTCATGTCTGGCTAGAGGATGAGTGACTACATGCGAGCACAGGAAATGTTCACTCCAGGGTACTGAACCTAACATCTGATTGTTCTGCTTGTGTTAAATGTTGAATTCAACATTCAGCATAAATAGAACAAACAGATTTTTGTTTTGCTTATCTACTGTCTAGATGATTGCTACATTACTATAGATGATTAAAGCAGAAACTGGCACAGAAAGAAGATATGCTAGTCAACTCTTACTGGGTACGGTGAGCTTGGGGACATTGAGATGGCTGCTGTATCAAAGTATAGAGCACAAATGGATCAGAATTCAACATTCAACATAAACAGAACAAACAGATTTTTGTTTTGCTTATCTACTGTCTAGATGGCTGATACATTACCATAGATGATTAAAGCAGAAACTGGCACAGAAAGAAGATATGCTAGTCAACTCTTACTGGGTACGGTGAACTTGGGGACATTGAGATGGCTGCTGTATCAAAGAATAGAGCACAAATGGGTCGGACTCATGTGCTAGCATGTTGAAACAGATAACAAGTAATGATTAATGCATGGGGACAGAGCAGTTAGTGCACATGCCTGCTAAAACAGTGGTCTAGGTTCAACCTCATTGTCCCTGAATTTCTCAGTTACAAAATTCCCTTGATTCCCAAACAGTTTCCATTGTTCTGGGACTTTAATGTTTTCTTCTTTCTTTATTATATTCTCCAGAGCCTGTTCTGTCTTCCAGTGTCAGGTTTTAAAGAGTTATCTTGCTGTGTGCGGTGTAGATGCTGGTATTCACAGCCTTGGATATTCCATCTCTCCATTTATTGCATGGGTGACGTCAAGTTCTGCTTACATTTCAATGTAACAGCTGAAATCCATGACCTATGTGTAATGAGTGATGACTGTGGACAAGACACCTGAACAATAGTGCCATCTGTATTCTTGCAACTGACAAAACTAATAACACACGCACACATCATGAACAGTTATGAATTACAGTGAAGCCAAACCACACCATGCTGGCCTGCTGGCCCGAAGGTCTAGGGTTCACATCTGCATCAAGCCAGATTTTTTTTTTTTGCAAAATGGAAACCAGCTGATACCTTGGCTGCCTGGGTGAGCCAGTCTGAGCCAGAAAGTGTGGTCTTTGCAAAGTCGACACAGCCAGTCCTTGACTTTTTTTATTTACCGATCACACAGATGAAAACTTTAACTTCTCAGTTTAAACAAATGTGCCACTCATTTCATTTGATTCCTTGTGTGGGTTCCAGAACTCCATTTTGGAGAAAACAGAAACAAGAAGAGACCGACTGTCTCCATAACAGTGATCACAGTGTTCTTTGGTGTCTCTTATCACATTATCAATGAAGAACACTGTTTAAGCAAGCTGTTAGGTTTGTAAGGGAGGCTAATCTAAAGGGCAGACAAAAGGTGACTAATTGGGGATTTTCCCTCTCAAGTCAGAGTGCATCCTCCTGAGAATTTAGAAACCAACAGTCTGCATACAGGTAAGCCAGATCTGTAAAATGAATATGCATTCAAAATCCAAGTTCTGGATGAGACTAAAGCCCAGATGTGGATTAACAATCAGAACTTGCTACCGGAGATTACAGCTGGTAAATGCTGAGAGGCTGGTCATACAGTTAGAACGCTGGGCTCCGGAATGAGAGACCCAGGTTCGAATCCTTGGTAAGGCTGGGGATTTTTTTTCTGTTGGGGCAAAATAAAATCCTCGACAGCAGTAGTCATGCAGCCATAAATCATCACGTACAAAGAACCCCCTGCCTACACCAAACAAAAGTGGTATAATAAAGCCAGTAATTAGTAGTTTGGCAGAATGCTAAAAAGAAGAAGAAGAAGAATTCAGCTGATCTTTTTTTTTGACTGGCTTATTCTGGTCTCCAGTTTTAACATATGACTGTGAATCCTGGACATTCGGTAGGCAGGCCAAACAATTTCTTGAGGCCTCAGAGATGTGGTTTTACAGAAGAATGCTTAGAATACCTTGGACAGCCAAAAAAGAGCAACCAAGAGGTTTTGAAAGAGGTGGGAGCCTGAAGACAACTTATCACAGATATCAGAAAGAGACAGTTATCATTTTTCGGCCATGTTATGAGAAGAGGGAAAATGGAACATGTTGTGACCACTGGAAAGATCTGTGGAAGGAGGGATGGAGGAAGACAACAAGAGAAGATGCTTGACAGTCTTGTTGCATGGGATGGAGGTGTGTCAGCACACAAACTGATACATGCTGCAGGAGATCACAGATTGTGGAGAGGCATGATCGCCCACGCCAGTCGGCAAGGCACCTGATGATGATGATAATTCTGGTTACCCAGCAACCAGGTCACATGTAACTGAGCTCTACAATAGTTTTTTTATTTTTTCAGAGAACGACAACTCTTCTTTCCCAATTACCAGTTGCCCACATACCAGAAGAAGAAAGAAAACATTCAGTGGACTTTAGCTATCATTAGACCTGAGGTGTATGCCACCAAGAAAGGTAAGTACAACCTGTGTGCTGTTGATGAATGGAGGAGATTCTGTAATATCTTCAATAGGTTAGACCGAAGGTTGGATTTCAAGTCATTTAATAATGTTAGCCCATCATCCTCATCATCAACATAAACATCACCCACACCATCACCAACACCAAAACAATCACTAGCATATCACCACTACCATCAACATTACCATAATCTTCACGAACATCATTATCATCACCCCTGCAGCCATCATCGTCACCACCATCATCATTTTCATCAGAATTACATCATCATCACCACCACTAACAACATAACCATTATCATCATCATTACCAACATCAGCATCTTTACCATTATCATCATCATCATGACTATTCACCATTATCATCAGCTTCATCATCATCATCATGTGACTTGCAAAATGGTCTGGGAGTCACTCTACAGATTGGCATTCTAGGTGAATTCAAATAATGATATTCCTTCATATCACAGTCTCAGACTTTCCAGCATCATCTGTCTGTTTGTCTCCCTCTGCCTCTTCTACCACTAATCTCTTCAGTCATCACAGTGTTTTTCTGTGTCTCTTAATACATGATCAGTGTTAGGCTTGTAGGTAAGGCTAATCTGGAGGGCAGACAAGCAATGGACCCATGCTGATACACTTGAACACTCTGCAAGAAGTAAGATATTTGTGAGAATAAAGGGATGACTGTGGATCTGCAACCATGTTCAGACTGCAAGGACATCAAGTTAAAAGGGGTGTGGCCAGACAAAGGCACTGTGCAGAAAACCAAAGAAGAATAACAAACCAGCACAGAACTGGTGAAGCCAGACAAGGGCACTGTGCAGGAAGCCAAAGCAGAATAACAAACCAGCATATAACTGGTGTAGCCAGACAAGGGCACTGTGCAGGAAGCCAAAGAAGAATAACAAACCAGCATATAACTGGTGTAGCCAGACAAGGGCACTGTGCAGGAAGCCAAAGAAGAATAACAAACCAGCATATAACTGGTGTAGCCAGACAAGGGCACTGTGCAGGAAGCCAAAGAAGAATAACAAACCAGCATATAACTGGTGTAGCCAGACAAGGGCACTGTGCAGGAAGCCAAAGAAGAATAACAAACCAGCACATAACTGGTGTGGTCAGCAATTACATGTTGTGGGATTTACTGAGGATCAGACCTGAGCTCTTAACTCTTTAAGTACCATGGAGCTGATCATGTATTTTTGGTCACTCCAAAGACAACACACTGTTCTTGCATTCCTCTATAACACATAACAGCTACATTAGCTCAGTGTAACAAAATTGTCAGTTCACTGCAGTAAGAATGATCTTTCGACTAACTGGTTCCCTCTTTTGTTATTCTCATTCAATGAGCTTCCTCCATACTAGTTACTTGAAGCATCTAAGATTATCACCAAAATGTGTCTCTGAAACCACACATATGCTGTTGCCAAGCTTTTCCTAATTTGTTTGCTTACATTCAAAGATTCACTGCCATACAACAGAACAAGTCTGACATAACATTTATGTTCTCCCTTTCTGACATTTAATAATAGTGGCTTACATAACATTAACAATACATTGAGAAGAAGAAGAAGAAGAAGAAGAAGAATAATAAGAAGAAGAAGAAGAAGAAGAAGAAGAAGAAGAAGAAGAAGAAAAAGAAGAAGAAGAAGAAGAAAGTGATGCTGATGACAAAAAAAGAAGAAGAAGAAGAAGAAGAAGAAAGTGATGCTGATGACGACGATTAAGATGTTGTTTATTGCCTGGCAAATTACTCTGTATCTCGTCGGGTGCATTACAACAGAGCTACATCAACATTTAAAGAAGCACAGAAATCCCAATTTTCCCTCACTGAAATACACAGATCACATTGTCTTCTCTAGCTGAACTGTTCATCTCATTACTAGAAATCCATAAACTGCCAACTGATTATCACAGAAGTTTGATTTACCACACACTTTTTTTTGTTTGCATAACATAGGATTGTTCATTTGTATTGTCACAACTTGTTAAATAATTACTCTTCATCATCTGAAATACAGTTTTTGTTGAGAGAGAGAGACTGAGAGAGAAAGAGAGGGAGAGAGAGAGTGAGAGAGATAGAGAGAGATACAGAGAGCAAATAAGATACAGAGAGAGGAGAGAGAGGGATTGAAATGCAGAGATAGAAAAGAGAGTGACACTGAGAGGAATAGAGAGAGAAATAGAGAGACTGAGATGCAGAGAGAGAGAGAAAAGGGACAGTGAAATAGAGAGAAAGACTTAGATACAGATACTGAGAGAGAGAGAAAAAGACATTGAGAAACAGAGAGAGACAGAGAGAAGGAGGGAGAGAGTCATTGTGAAACAGAGACAGAAAGGGAAAGGGAGAGAGACTGATAAACAGAGAAAGAAGAGAGAAAATCAGAGAAGCAGAACAATAGAGAAAGAGAACGATAACGAGAATGTGAGCAAAAAGAGAATAAACACTGCTCTAAAAATGTAGAAGTGCGTAATATGTCTTTTTGTCTGCAGATGCCATCGTACAGAAGATTAAGGATGCAGGCTTTAAGATCATCATGCTCAAGGAGGTGCAGATGACCAAGGACCAGGCGGCCGATTTCTACAAGGACCATGAACATTATGCCTACTTTGACTCCCTAGTGGAAATCATGTCAAGGTCTGTAAAACTCAGTGTCTGTTTGACTCACAGGACCTAGAACTGTAAAACTCAGTGTTTGTTTTACTCACAGGACCCAGAACTGTAAAACTCAGTGTCTGTTTTACTCACAGGACCCAGAACTGTAAAACTCAGTGTCTGTTTTACTCACAGGATCGAGAACTGTAAAACTCTGTGTCTGTTTTACTCACAGGACCTAGAACTGTAAAACTCAGTTCTGCTTTACTCCCAGTATCTAAAACTGGAAAACTCAGTGTCTTGTTTTACTCACAGGTGCTAGAATTGTAAAACTCAGAGTCTGATTTACTAAAAGGTAGCTTTAGTTAATTACATTTTGTTCAACTCTTAAACTGTTTCATACTGAAGTTTTTAAGAAAACCACAACATGCCATTCCCCTTTTAAGGAAGAATGCAGCAGCAGTGGAAAAAGAAAAAAAAGTTGCTTCATGGCCTATGTACACTTTTAAGATGAAAGGAAGAAGAAAAAGAAGGAAGAATCAGAGAAAGAAAACGGTGAAGAGGAGAGAAAGAAGATGAAGTTAAAAATCAGACTCCTACCCCTCACTGAAGACCACGCTGATGATGATGAAGATAATAATGAAGGTGATAACAAAGATGACACTCAACTTTCCACTGGAGCTTTCAGACGGTGAATAAAGAAGAAGATGAAGATAATAAAGATGATGGCAGAGATGCTAAGAAGAAGAAGAAGAAGGAGAAGATAAAGAAGAAGTCAGTCATCATCGTACCTTGAACCATTCAGTCCATAAGTGCTCAGATCCCCTCTTCAGTATCTCCCTCAGTGTGTAGTGGCTTATGGCACCTATGGCACCAATTCGGTGTTGGTTCACTTTTCTTCTTTGGGCCTCTGTGTAGTGCTTTTGTCTGGCTTCACCCCTTTTCATGTTATGTTTGTGTAGTCTCATCAGTGTTGCAGATTCACATCATGACTTGATTCGTTCAGTCAAGCTGCCTCTCTGAGGGCATACAAGAAGAAGAAGGAGAAAAAGAAGAAGGAGAAGAAGAAGGAGCAGAACAAGAAGACGAAGAAGGCATGGATTATTCTCTGTTTGCCATGTCTCACCTGTAAATGAGTTAATATTTTTGGTCTGCTTTGAATCTGTCTATACATTGATAGTCTTGACATTTATTTTGTGGTCAGTGGGCCGTTTCTCGTACTGACCCTGTCCAAGGATGAAGCTATCAAAGCCTGGAAGAATACAATAGGTCCATCAAACATTGATGAGGCCATGGAAAAAGCTCCACAAAGGTGAGACAATTAATCTAGCTTTGTAATTAGATGTTTGTGACTGGTTGTTATGATCGGTTGGTTAGATGTGTTCATTAGTTGATTGTTGTTTTGATTGGTTGATTTGTTGATTGGTTAGCTGTTGTGTTGATTGGTTGATTATGTTGATTGATTAGTTATTTAGTTCACTGACTGGTTTTTGTGTTGATTGGTTGGTTGTGTGGATTAGCTGTTTTGTTCATTGGTTGGTTGTAATCATTGGTTGAATGGTTTGCTTGGTTATTTATTCCTGTGTGGGTTCTGGATATGAAAGAGTATGCATGTGTACGAAATGTCAGATAGGTTTGCTTACACGGATAAGGATGAAAGGAAGTGTACACATGTAATGTGGTCTGCGTGTATGAATGCTTGAGTGCATGTACGCATACGCTTAGTTGTGTGCTTAAAATGTACTACGGGGGTTCATACCCAAAACCATCCCATTCTACATCATGCATACAACATAAACATGACCGGTGGAGCTCACGACAAATATGACTGACAACAAATAACGAAAACAAATGAATCGACTCTGACAGAACTAGAACACATAACCATCAATACCAACCCATCATTGGGATGATAGCAAAGGTTTGTAATGTGATACACATAATCCCGGCTTAAGGCCACGCTAGAATCCATACGACCGCAACGACGAGAAATGACTGAATGGCCTCCAGCCCCCTTTCCCCTCACCTCTCCCTACCTCTTTCGGATGCACTATGAGTTCAACCCCCCCATTCCATTCTTACAGAGAGCACTTGAGTTCGTTACCCAACATGCCACAGCAATTCTCATCGCCGAACGTTTGGATTTCAAAGCGTGAGCTGAATGCTCTGGGTATATGGTATTTACGCACACCAGAGCCTAGCTTCCAACCCAAACAGACACAACCGGATCACACACCAACAAATGACGATTAGAACAGCATTACGGCTACACACAACATTTTACACACATATCCACCCGACACGACTAACCCATTCTTATTTCAGGAAGACAATTATAAGACCACTATGGTCACACCCTAAATATTTTCACATTTCGGAACTATCCAAATCAAAAACTATTTTCAGTATTTTTTGGCCCCAAAAAAAAATACTCAAAATTTTAAAACTGTAAATGGTGGACCAAAGGACGTTGTATAGAAAAGTGCGCCCCCCCCCCCCCCCCCCCCTTACGAAATACGCCTGGCCAAATCAAAGGGAGACAACACAAACTGGAAACACCAAGTAAGACGAAAGAAGACATGCACAAGTAACAACAGGGTGGAGGACGAGCGGTCTGGTTTGGATGGAAGCATCAAGCCCAGAAACGGCCCAAATACTAGAATTCAGTCACGAAAGTGACGCAAATAACCCAGACCACAAATATAGGTGGAGACTGTTAGCAGCCTCGGCTAGCTGGCAGCAGTCTGAAAGTGGTCGACCTTTTCATTTTTTTCTCAAAAGGACTAGGACTTTGACTTGGGTTCTGGATGCCTGCTTTAGGCAAACAAGAATAGACCCACTGTCTCACCAAAAAAGCTTGTCGTAAGAGTCGACTAATTGGGGGCTTCTGTTGAAGCTGGAGTGCAGCTGTCTGAGAGGCAAAGAACTGACAGTCTGCATACAGATAAGTCGTCCGCTATTAATGGGCACTAAAGATGGTGGCCGCAAAATATCCGTTCGAGCCGCAGTCACGTGTCAGTTGCGCACTTCCGGCTACTTAATTTGCGGTTTTCCGGCGACTATCGCCACCGCCATGTGGCCCCCCGTGGCCCCCACGAGCAAAGCTGCAGGAGATGCAGAAGCTGCTGTTGGTTTCTCATGTTTCGGGCAGATGCACTCCAACTTCAAAGGACAAATTCCTAGTTAGTTACCTTTTATGAAACGCTAGTTAAGGGGCAGTGGGTCCACCCCCACCCCCACCCCCACCCCCACCCCCACCCCGACCCAGATGGGTACCCACAACCCACACAGGGAATCAGAGGCTCAGGACATTTGTCATAGTCAATTACAGGGACGAGATCATTTAGTTTACTGCTTAACTCAAGGACACAGTTGTTTAGTCTGGTCCCCGTGTGGGTTCAGGGAACCTGTTATAGGCAAAACAAAAATAGACCCACTGCCTACCAAAAAGCATGTCATAGGAGTCCACTAATTGGAAGCTTCCTTCAAAGTCAGAGTGCATCTGCCTGAGAGGCAAGGAACCAGCAGTCTGCGTATAAATGAGTCAGATCTGTAAAATGGATGCACACACAAGACTCAGGTTCTGGAACAGGGCTGCAGTCCAGAAGTTAATGACCAATCAGAACTCTCCGCCAGAGTTTACAGCTGGTGAACGCAAAGAAGAGAAGAAGTTTAATCTGTTGTGCATGTAAATGTCCACATTTTGGTATTCTCATCACCAGGTGTACTAACTTATTAGAATCAGATGGAAATCCCAGTAAAACGAAAACAAGTAGAAGCTGGAGCTTGTAATAGTGTTTGGTATGTTAACATGTAAATCAACAAGTGAGGTATCTGCATTTGAATGTTCCACTAAAATCGTTTATTTTCACCTGCAGTTTGCGTGCCCAATTTCAGGGCGCGAGCGGCATGAACCAGGTTCATGGCTCAGACAGCGAGGAAACAGCAAAGGATGAAATAGCTTACTTCTTCCCCATGGAGCAGACAGTTGCTGTAATTAAACCACATGCTATGGAATTCAAAGGTAATCACATCACATAATATGGAAATAAAAGGCATTCATATTAGACAGTGTGAGAATGACAGGTAGTTACATCACACAGTCTAGGCATTAAAAGTAATCATCATCTTTATGGAGCAGGTGCTTTGCAAAACAACACTCTCATCACAGTCTGCCTGAAAGAAACTCGGTCTCTCATCAGCTCTCCTGCCTCCTGTACTTTCATATTCATGGAGTCACTTATATTCTGTGCCCATCTTCACGTTGGTCAGCCCCTGCCCGTCCTTCCTAGTACTGTGCCTTCTGCTATTATTTTTCCAATTCACTATGGCACTTGATAGAACAAGGCATTCTCTCCAAGTAGGAAAACCATTTGATTTGCTGTCTTTCTATGTAATTTAGAATTGGTTCTATGCCGACTTTATCTCGTATGACCTCATTCCTGATTTTATCTCTTCTGGTCACTCCTACAGTCTTTCTTAGACACCTCATTTCCATGGTTATTATTTTTCTTTTATGTTTTGTTGTAAGTGACCATGTCTGGCACTGGTAGCATAGGGTGGGAATAAATATGCTTTGTATGAGATGTCTCTTTGCGCTGATTTGGATTGCCTTACTCTTTAAGGGAAAAGGATGGGGGGGGGGGGGGGGGGCTAGCTGTCCCAATACTTTGCCAGCTTTACTGCATTAACGGTCAATTTCTTCATCTAATTTACCATCTTCAATGAATGTTGTTCCAAGATATTTAAATTCGGATGCATGTTTAATATAATGCTATGTTTAAATCTTGCTTCTTTCTTCTTTTTGACATTACTTCTGTCTTTTCAATGATGATTTTCATGTTATTTGATTTACATTCTTCATTCTTGGATGTGAGATGCTGTTGCAAATTCATGGCTGTATCTGCAATCAAGGCCTGGTCATCAGCAAAGAGTAATTTGTTGATGTTACTGTTATTTTCATTCCTGGGCCTGGCATACTTGCTTGTACAGTCAATGTAGGTGATAAACAGGAGCGGTGATAAGACTCATTCCTGTTGAGCTTATATACATCAAGGTGCATCGCAACCTTTTGAAGTAAATTTAGGAGTAAGACAGGAATGTGTGATATCTCCCCTGATTTTTGTAAGATACTTCAACAATATATGCAAAGAAGCAGAGAGCAAAGAAAAGAATGATATCTCAGAACTGTTATTTTGCAGATGACCAAGTATAAATAGCTGAAACAGAAGAGAGTTTATAGAACCATATAGACCAACTCAATACTAAGTGTGAGAAATATAAAATGAGGATAAGCATTGATAAGACAGAGGCAATGGTGATAGGTAGACAAGAAGTAACCATTTATTAAAGTGAAAGACACAGACATAAAACAAACGAGTGAATGTCAATATCTAGGGTCATTTTTTCACCTCAGATGGAAGACTGGATAGAGAAATAAACATACAATGTGTGAAAGCAAATCAGGTTATGGAACACTTATCACCGCTGCTGACGCATAGAAAGATACCTCAGTTTTTTTGGCTGACATTGTGCTACCAGGGCCAAACATAGACCCTTACTACAACTAATGAGCGAAAGATCGTAACAACACAGATGACAAATCTTAGGAGAGCTGCCGATGTGACAACAAGAGGTAAAAATCAGGAATGAAGAAATTAGAAGAAGACTAGGACTGAAACCAGTCATTCAGTTCATTAAAGAACAACAAGTGAGATGGTTTGGCCACCTGACAAGAATGCCCTGGTACCAACTACCACAGGAAGCCTGATTTAAGAGATATAATGAACACAGAGCAGGGGGAAGACCATGCAAGAGATGGAGCAACATCATCAGGAGCAACCTAACAGAAATGAACACCAACTTGTATAATGCATTGAAAAAAGCACACAAACGTTCCTTACATCTCCCCCCAACACATCGCTGTGGTAAATTGTGGAAGTGAAGAAGAAGAAATATAGTAGTGATGAGCAATCATGTTAGACAATCATCATCATCATGTGCCTTGCCGACTGGCGTGGGCGATCATGCCTCTCCATAATCTGCGATCTCCTGCAGCATGTATCAGTTCGTATGCTGACACTCTTCCATGCCATGCAACAAGACTGTCAAGCATCTTCTCTCGTTGTCTTCCTCTATCCCTCCTTCCACAGATCTTTCCAGTGGTCACAACATGTTCTATTTTCCCTCTTCTCATAACATGGCCGAAAAATGATGACTGTCTCCTTCTGATGTCTGTGATAAGTTGTCTTCGGGCTCCCGCCTCTTTCAAAACCTCCTGGTTGCTCTTTTTGGCTGTCCAAGGTGTTCTAAGCATTCTTCTGTAAAACCACATCTCTGAGGCCTCAAGAAATTGTTTGACCTGCCTACCGATTGTCCAGAATTCACAGCTATATGTTAAAACTAGATGTATGTAGCAAGCAAGAATTCTTTCTCTAACTCTCAATTACAAGGATATTTTGCACAAGATGTTTTTCATTTTATAAAATGCAGTTTTTGCCTGTCCTATTCTGTTTCTTATCTCAGTTATGCATTTTCCATCAGATGTTATCCATTTTCCATCAAATGTTATCCATGTGCCCAGATACTTAAATTTCTGTACTTGTCCTAAAATAACACCATCGACTTTTATTACACATTTAGGAATGATTCGTTTCTTTGATACCACCATTACTTCTGTCTTCCCATTATTCAAACTAAGGCCCATTCTTCCACTTTCTAACACCACAATGTCTATAATTTCCTGTAGTTTTTTCTGACTAATTGCTATCAAGACTGTGTCATCAGCATAACGTAAATTGTTTATATTGTGCCCACCAACCACAATTCCGGGCATATCATTTAAAGATCTCGTTATATATTCACTGTATATTGAAAACAAATCAGGTGACAGTACACATCCTTGTCATAGACAATTTGTGAATGAAATATGATCAAATTGAAAATAACATAGGAAGGATAGGTAATCACATGATAAATTGTGGACATGACAGGTATCACTTCACGAAACATGATAATGACAGGTAATCACATCAACAAATGTGGGCATCAAAGGTTGATCACATCACAGTAAACTGTAACAAGAAATGAAACCTAAAACAATTGAGCCTACCAACATTAAATGGCAAACAAAAGAAGTCAGAGGTATTCAACACACATTCCTTTTGAATCAAAAGTATTTACATAATGAGCTATGAGAGTCACTGTAATGAAACTTACAATGGGAATCCGCATTATTATTATTATTATAATCATCCTCATCATCTAAAATTTTTAATTAAAATCTAATAATACAAATCTAGCACTAACAAAAGGGGAGGTTTGTGATGCTGCGTGGATCACAAATGACACAATAATAAAATAATTGAAAAGTTGTTCATCTACACAAACATAGACGGGTTGTTGTTTTTTAAAGTTGGCCAGAAGTTTTTTGGAAATCGCTGTGGTGTAGCAGCTCACCTGTGGATTCATTGGTTCATATCCTGACAGAGCCAGACTTATTTCAAAATTACCTTGACTCACAGGTCAACCCAACCTTAAAGGGCAGAGTCCTAGGCAGAGAAGGCCACTGATGTACTGCTGACCACAAAGCCCACTGAGTGTCCAGTTTGGTCTGTAAAATACAGGTCTAGCCCTTTGTGCATATTACACCTGAAGCCATGGAAAAGAGTCCTTAACTTTTACTTTAATAGGAGTATTCTGGCCTCATGCATAGCAAAACTAGCGGGATAGGAGTTTCCATTGGTTGCCATGGTGATGTGCCAGGTTGTCATTGAAAATGTAGGCCTTGTTCTTAAAGTCCATGATGCATTGCTGCAATGCAGTTGGCTCCTTATTTACTCGCTTGGTTGTAGCATTACTACTGTCTCACTTTCTAACTCTTTCTCTTTACCTCTGTTTCCTTGTCTCTGTCCTGTGTCTTTATCACTGTCATTTTATGTTTTGCCTGCTTCTCTGTCACAATATGTGCATGTCTCTCTGGCTTTGTCTCTATGTTTCTGTCTGACTGAGTGTCTCTCATTCTCTCCTCTCTCTCTATCTCTATCTCCTTCTCTCATCTCTCAGCCTGTGTATCTTTCAGTCAGTCAGTTAGTCATTCTGTCTTTTCTCTCTCTCTCTCTTTCTTTCTTTCTGTCCATCTCTTTCCCCCCCTCCCCCTCTCTCTCTCTCTCCTCATTATCTTCAACTCTCAGCCTGTCCGTCTGTCAGTCAGCCAGGTCTGCCTGCCTGCTTGTCTGCCTGTCTATCTGTTTGTCTCACTCTCTTCCTTTCTCTACATTAAACTCTTTGCATAATCTAATTGTCACTCAAAAATCTATCTTTCAGATGAAATTCTTGCCAGGATTAATGAATCTGGCTTTAAGATAGCAGCACAGAAGGAGACCACAATTGGCCCAATTGAAGTGGAAGTCCTCTACACAGATAAACGGGATAAAGCTTTCTATGATGAGCTGGTCAACTCTATGACAAGGCTTGTAGAATATTTTTAAATATTTATTTACGGAATCTAGGGCTGTGTCCTAAAAGTTTTTCATTAAACGTAGAAACAAGTCTCTTACATTATAGATTAGTCATTGGTTTGGCTCATTGACTGTTCTGAAAGTTGAAATCTGGTTACATGTGTTAAAGGCAGGAACGATAAACACAGTTAGATGCTGTTGAATCCAGCTACGACTCGCTGCAGCACACGGCTGGTGTTCGAAACCAGGCGGTTCCTTGGGTTCACCCAGGCTCTAGAAAATGGGTACCAGAGTTAAAACTGTGGGGTATATGGAGGAACATCGCTGTAGCTACGGAGTTTCATGAGGTCGGCGACTCAGGCCGACAGTTTTTTTATAAGCTATCCGTACTGGTGGCAGAGCATTTATGGTTTATAACCGTGTGCAGTGGCGGTGGTTCACATCTCCTGACTTTATCTTTATTTGCAATAACCAATGTATTCTCTGGATTTATATATATACATGTGTGTGTGTGTGTTTTCATTGATTGTTATGTGTGTGTGTGTTTGTGTGTGTGTGTATAAATATACACACACGCGCACACACAGAAAAAACAAGAAAACACAGGCACACACATATATGTGTGTGTTTTGTTGTTTATTTTGTACATATTTATACACACACACACAAGCAACAGAAAAAAAAACAAAAACAAAAACACACACACATATAAAAAAACACAAGAAAACCATAATTTGTATTTTTAGTTACTCTTACAAGAAAGTGGTAACTTAACTGCACTCATTTTAGGCTAAATTGACCTTGTCTTCTTGGTCATTGTTGAAAAAGCCCACCTCAGTTTGAACCCTAGACTTTTGAGCATCTAGCCACTGCACTGCCACATTTTACATATTAAAAATAAACACATAATTACCAGAGATATCACCAAACATAGGAATGACAGAGATGTTTCATATTAGATCTGTAGTGCGTCAGGGATGTGTTTTATCATCCATATTGTTCATCACATACATCGACCAAATTTGTCTATCAGCTGACATCAGTGAAGTGGACATCATATTCTGTTTTTGCTAATGACCAGGCAATCATAGCACCAACTTCCTTCGAAGTCGGAGTGCATCTGCCTGAGAGGCAAGGAACCAGTAGTCTGCATACAAATGAGTCAGATTTGTAAAATGGATGCACTTGCAACACTCAGGTTCTGGAACAGGACTGCAGTCCAGAAGTGGATGAACTTTCCGCCAGAGTTTATAGCTGGTGAACACAAAGAAGAAGATAGCACCAACAGCAATACAACTGCAAGAATATATTAACATACTCCACTTATCATGCGACAACTATGATATGAAGATCAGCTTAGACAAAACAGAAGAGATGATATTCTCCAGAACAGGAAGAATCACGGATATCAAAATTGATGAACATCAATTAAGGCAGAAGAAGGACTTTCGATAACTACCATGTCCTGTAAAATATACACACATTTTTTTTTTCAAACAAACACACACACATGTGCATTGACACACCACACATACATTCACACACCACACATACATTCACACACCACACATACATTGACACACCACACATACATTCACACACAAACATTCTCACACATATTATTTAGTGTATGTATGTAACCAACAGTGGTCCTGCACTGTTCATGGTGCTCTCGAGAGAAGGAGCGGTGAAAGGCTGGAGGCTTGAGATGGGAGATGTTGATCCTGAAGTTGCCAAAAGCACGGACCCTGATTCGTAAGTGTCAAACTTTGGATGGGTCATTGACATTTAAATGTTTAATGTTCTCTTCTTTCATTTATTGATGTCTGTGCACTAGTTGTAGCTTATGTAGAGGTTAATGGACATTCTGTTGGGGGTAGGTTAATCAGGGGAGGTTAAAGGACATTCAATTGGTGGTAGGTCTAGTAGGAAAGGTTAATAGACATTCTGTTGATGGTAGGTCTAGCAGGAGAGGTTAATGGACATTATGTTAATGGTAGGTCTAACAGGAGAGGCTAAAAGGACATTATGTTGATGGTAGGTCTAACAGGAGAGGTTAATGGACATTATGTTGATGGTAGGTCTAGCAGGAGAGGTTAATGGACATTATATTGATTGTAGGTCTAACAGGAGAGGTTAATGGACATTATGTTGATGGTAGGTCTAACAGGAGAGGTTAATGGACATTATGTTGATGGTAGGTCTAACAGGAGAGGTTAATGGACATTCTTTTGGTGGTAGATCTAGCAGGAGAGGTTAAAGTACATTTTGTTGGTGGTAGATCTAGCAGGAGAGGTTAAAGTACATTTTGTTGGTGGTAGGTCTAGCAGCAAAGGTTAACTGACCTTATGTTAATGGTAAGTTTAGCAGTTAATTTAAATATTATTATGAAATATAAAATCTTCATTGGCAGTATTCTATGAATAAAAACTGAATTTCTTGTCAAATCAAACAATACATAGTATGTTCTTATCTCTTGTAAGTTTGGTCTGAGCATTATCCACAAATCTAGCTAGAAATTTTAATATGCAGAATTATACATATTTCATAATTTAAAAAACTGTAGTTATAATACTAATTTGACATCAAATTTGAAATCTTCTGGGATGGAGTTAAGAAATTGACCTGGCTGTCTAGGTTGCCCCAGTTAAAAATGGGTACAAGTAAATCTTCTCGGAATTAAATAGGATCAGAATGATATCACCCATCAAGTATTGATTGATCTGTTTAAATGTGGGGCTACCATCATATACACAGAATACCCTGAGACATGGAAATAGGTCTTCTATAATTGTAAAGAAATTAGATACATTTTTGGTCAGCTGCTGGTATAACAGTTTTAGGTTAAAAAAATAGTGAGTAGCTAGATATTGTGAGGGCCCTTTTGGGAGTAAGTAAACAGTGCGGAGGCGCAGATAGAGCATTATGGTCTAAGGAGAATGGCACTATGAGGAGTTACCAGGGGATCTGGCTGACGCTCAACACTTAGGGGAAGGATGAGATGGATGTACAATCAGACAGTTACTGGTACCATCAGAATTAGAACTCTTCGCTTGCTGCTGAAGATGGGGACTGAGCACTTGTTGGAGTGTCCAGAGCTCTGTGATGTCAATTTTTAATTTCAACATTCAACATTTCTTGGGGAAACTCTGTTCTTTGGCACTGTTCACTTTATCGCAGAGAGCTTTCACCCTGTCTGCTTTATCATAAAGTAGCTCACTGCTCAGAGGAGTAAAACAGCCAATCTATCAGCAGGCTGATTACTCTGCACACCTGAATATCCTAAACATAAAATTCATAATATATTTCTCATTTGTGTCTCATCAAGCGATGCAAGTCACCGTTTGCATAGGGTTGCAGTTTGTATTTTCTTAATCTTGCTCTATGAGTCTGTTAAAAGTGCAAGTTGGGTTGTGCAGTTCTTAAGCCACCAGAAAGCTGCAGAAAATTGATGATACTGCCTCCACCTCCATTCTCATACTGGATGTTGTGATGTAATACACGAAGCTCTCCCATTGGGCAAAACATCCTGAGGACAAGCAGACAGAGAATCCTCAAACAGGGTTTGAAACGGGAAGCAAATAAAGGAACTGAGGAAAGGAGGACATCTAAGAGAAACCCTAAAACGAACGTTGATAAGAGAGGCCAAAGATGTTGGACTGGATTCTAAAGGAATGTACAGGATAGAACAGAATCAAGGAATAAACTGCTAGTGCTAAGTGTGCAAAAGGATGATGATATAACATACATTGGCAGTCTTTTCAGACATTAGTGTTCAGTTTTGCTACAAGGAGATATAAAAATCATATGGCATAGCAGTGACAAGTCTGACCATTCTAGCAAGACCTGCTTGCTTGACTCAAGTTAAGGCCAGGGAGTAAGTTTCTTCTACCATAGCACAAAACCTGGCCAGTATTATAAAGATAACAAGTTAGGCAGTATTGTAAAAAAAAAACCATGTATTGCCCATGCAGCATGATCCCTTGTTTGTCTGCCTTGTTTACTGCAGAGAAAAGATAACACCAATATGTTGGGAATAATGTACACTGCAGAAGTTCTATGCTCTATCCATGAACCTATAAGAGCGTCCCTCTTGGACCAGCTGCCAGCCAAGGCTAAGGACCTAATCTTTCCTGCCATAACAGAAATTTTTCAGTTTTCATTTCCTGGTCCTAGGATAAGGCCATTTTTCTCCCCACTACGTTTATTTGCCTGAAGCCATGGGCACAGTGAGGGATGTTCAGTTTGGTATATAAAACATGGTAGTAAAAACATAAATTGTGTTTAGTGGTAAACAAAGAGTTAACCATTTCTAATATAGACTTTTCCTTGTGTTGGCTTCCTGCAGGCTGCGGGCGCTGTATGGCACAAGCCTTCTGCTTAATGCAGTTCATGGCAGTTCCAGCCTTGAACGAGCCAAGGAGGAGATGCAAATAATCTTTGGGGATCTGAAGTTCAGTGAAGATGGCACAGTTAAAGGTATATTTGTTGATTTCTCTGGTGCTGGTGATGATGCATTTGGTGATATCTATAGTAATTATATGTTTAGTGATATCTCTGGTAATTGTATGTTTGGCGATATTTCTGGTAATTATATGTCTGCCTCACAGTGTCAAGGCAGGAAGAGATCTCTGGAACTGTCCCTTTTCAGCGTCTCTGATATTTCTGCAGTCCGTCTCTTACATGATTGGCCTCAGGCTCTTCTACCATTGTATATGTATAACACTGCTGTCTGTGGTGCCCTTTCTGATGCCAAACTTGTTACATGGCTAAACCACTTGATTGGTTGACTACTGATAACGTTCAGTATTGATTCTGTGCTGACTCTTCTCCTGATATCATCGTTCCTAAGTGGATCTTCCCTTGTAAGACCTAGCATGGTACGTAAACATTTCATTTCTGTCGTGACTATTTTCCTACTGTCTTCCGAAGACAGTGTCCATGTTTGACATTGATAGCATAGCATTCGTAAGAATATTGTGTTGAACTGTGCTGTTTTAGTGTTCATATTCATTTGCTTGCATTTCAAATTGGGTGCCACTTAGCCTAAAACTTGTTTTGCTTTATTGCATCTTTCTTGAATTTCTTTATAAATTCCTCCTCTTCTTAAAAATGCTTTCCAGATATGTAAAGTTCTCCTTGTGCCTTAATTGATGTTCATCAATCTTGATATTGGTGATTCATCCTTTTCTGGAGAATATCATCACTTCTATTTTGTCTACCTTGATCTTCATATAATAGTTGTTGCGTGATAAGTGCAGTATGTTAATATGTTCCTGTAATTGCACTGCTGTTGGTGTTATGATTGCCTGGTCTTCAACAAAAAATTCGTTCAATAAGTTGTTCCCTAATGTTGCCCTCATTGCTGATGTTGGCTGATAAGCAGATTTTATTGACGTATGGTGATAAAACACACCCCTGTCTCACTTCGTGTCTGATGTGAAACATCTATGACCTTCTTATGTTTGGTGCTATCTCTAGTAGTTATGCGTTTACTTTTAATATATAAATTGTGATAGTGCAGTGGCTAGATGCTCAAAGGTCTAGGGTTCAAATTCAGGTGGACTTTTTCAACACTGACCTTGGAGACAAGGTCAATTTAGCTTAAATGGGTACAGCTCAGTTATGACTTTCTGGTAAAATTAATTAAAAATACAAATACAAATGATGGTTTTCTTGTTCATGTAGGAAATTGAATAAATGTTGGCTTTCCTGTAGATTTAACAAAATGAATAAATGTTGGTTTTCCTGTAGATTTAATAAAATGAATAAATGTAGGCTTTCCTGTAGATTTAATAAAATGAATAAATGTAGGCTTTCCTGTAGATTTAATAAAATGAATAAATGTAGGCTTTCCTGTAGATTTAATAAAATGTATAAATGTTGGCTTTTCTGTAGATTTAATAAAATGAATAAATGTTGGCTTTCCTGTAGATTTAATAAAATGTATAAATGTTGGCTTTCCTGTAGATTTAATAAAATGAATAAATGTAGGCTTTCCTGTAGACATAACAAAATGTATAAATGTTGGTTTTCCTGTAGATGTAACAAACTGTATACATTTTGGCTTTCCTGTAGTAGCAAAATGTAAAAACAATGACTTTCCTGTTGAAATTGACAGGTGTGTTGTTGACTGTTTCAGGTGCACAGCCGGACCTGGATGCAACAGCTCTCGGTGAGTCCTTTGTATCCTTTGTGAGGCTGACTTTTGTGCTCGAATAAAAAAATGTGTGAAGCCACTTTAAGTGGGCCACTTGATCAGAGAGGAGATAGATTACTCAGAGGAAAAGCAAGATGGACATATAATAAAACCTATGCTGGTACTGTCAGAATTGGAATTCTTTGCTGGCTGCTGAAGATGAGGACGAAGCACTTATGGAAATGTCCTGAGTGCTAGGATGTCAGTTCTTAGCTCAACACTCAGCAGAGAAGATAGATAAGTCAAAGCAAACAGCTGAAGAGGTTATTTGTGTTCTCTGCAATTCATCTCATTACTAATTAGAAGAGAGAGAGAGAGAGAGAGAGAGAGAGAGAGAAATCCCTAATCATTATCATCATAACAATCAGCCCATCATCATCACCACTCTCTCTTTCTCTCTTTTTATACCCCACCAGGACATCACACAAGCGATAAACACCTGGTGACACAAAGTGCCACCATGCGGATGAGGATCACCTGTGGAGAGGTCCCAGAAACCCCTTTCAGCCAATAGGCCATATTTATGGCCTGGCTATATTTAGGGCCCCCTGGAGAAGCCAGGGTGGGGCTTCAAATAACGAAAAACTGCAAACCACATGGGACAACTAACTTAAACTGTCACCACCACCATCACAATCAGCATTATAAACATGCAGTGTTGTCTCTTCAGGTAGGGTTTTCATTAGAGGATTCCCAGCAGAGACTTTCCTGAGCCTTTATTGCAGATTCTACTAGATCATACCTGGACCTCCCTGTGTGGGTTCTAGGGTCCCATTTTAAGGGGTGGGGGGTGGTAGATCCACTGAGTTTATACACACTTGAAAATTATAATATGTTGGGGACAGGGACATGATCACCCGTGCCAGCTGGTAAGGCACCTGATAATTATGATAGGCATTTTCTTTCCTAAGTATAATCAAAGGTACCAGAATATGGGGACTCAATGCCTTATCCCCCCTCTCCCCCCCCCCCCCCCCCCCCCCCCAGTAATTCTTAGGTGGGCTGAGCTTTCCCCCAAAACATTTGCAAGGTTGTGAAATGGTTCCCTCTAACCAAGTATAGACATTCTCTTTTTTAAGTTTGTGTTGATGCTCTGCATATTATTTCATATACATTATTATATTTATTAGCCATTCAGCACATTATAATAATTATTATTGGATGCTTAAACAAGGTTTGTGCCACGCCCCTATAAAATTATGGGGGTGGGGAGAGTTTGAGTCCCCCAGATTTCTTGGGAGTGTTACTGGTATTCATGATTCTAATTATGTAATGTTTTAATTTCTTCATGTTAATTTGTGTTTGTTTTATGTGTGTAGTCATTGAACATGACAGAGCATCAGATGTAGGAGATGATGCACATTCATATGATTTGGGTCAGATATTAAACATTTTCTTCTCAAGCTTGTAGTGCCTTAAATTAACTTTAACCCGTATACTCATAGCATATTTAGTTGTTTGAAATTCCTGCTTTTTATTTCTGCATGGAGATGTATTTATTATAAATAAGTTTGTGAATTTTTTTTTTTTTAAATGGCTTTATTGTTTTTGTTTTTTTTAACTATAGCTCTTTTTGTGTGTTATTCAGTTATGTACTTCTTCTTCTCCTGATCCTCTTCCTTTTCCTTCTCCTTCTTCTTCTTTTTCTTCTTCTTCTGCTGCTGATGCTGCTTCTGTTTCTTCTTCTTCTTTTTCTTCTTCTTCTTCTTCTTCTGCCTTTTATCTCCCCGTGGAGCCTAGGCCCTCAACTCGCACGAAGCATTTTTGTAGACTAAATAATATGTCCTTGAATTGTGTTGCTACAGTTGTTTCTAGGACGAGTTAGCCAGCCACATGCCAGTTGCCCTGTATGGCATTCATGATGGGTCACAGTGTTAAAATTCTTTGCTTCCTATCTTGCCCCTAATAACACATGTGCCAGGTGTGTGTTGTCTGGCTGTTATTTTGAGCAGCCTTGTGTGCACACAGAATGAAGTGGTCGTTCCCACGCTGTCTGCTTTCACAAAGTTGACACAGGTAGCCATTTTAATTACCTTTAGATAAGACACAATGTTTCTGCTACTGGGGGGTTGAGCCCACATCTCTAGGAAGGCTAACCTGAGCAACAGATGCCTGCAGAAGTCAGATGTGTTGGCTGTAAGGTGCACATTTAGATCTTTGGGTGGAACACAGAAGAAGAACCCATATTTGTTTGTCAACAAGCCAGTATTTTGATCACCATTTGAGTCTAATGAAGGTTTCTGGCATAGCTCAGATTATGGAATGTTTTCTAGTGAAGCTTGATTCTTATAATAGTTTCTGGTGAAGCTTGAATCTTACAATGGTTTCTGGTGTAACCAGTCTGAAAATGGTTTCTAGCCTAGCTTAAATTATGGATTGATTTGTAGGGTAATTTAAGTCCTAAAATGGTTTCTAGCTAATTTGGTTCTTATAAAGATTTCTCGTATAGCCTGAGTCATATAATGGTTTCTGGTATGGCCTGAGTTTTATAATGGTTTCTATCAGAGTATAATGAATTTTAATGCAGTTAAAAATTTATAATAGCTTTCTAATCTAGCTTTATTTTTAAGTCATGGGTTCTAGTCTAGCTTAAATTATGTAAAACCTACTATTCTAACTTAAATTTTGTTGCAGTGTAAATTCTAGCTCAAATTATGTTAGCTTCTATTTAAGTCTTATAATGGCTTCTGTTAAAGCTTAAGCTGTGTAATGACTTCTAGTTTAGCTTAGTTGTATGATTTTTTCTAGACCTGTTGAAGCTATATAATGTTTTATATCTAGCTTAAACTTTAAAGCTTGCTTTCAAATCTAGCTGTTTTCTTTATTAGATTTAGCCAGATTTTGATACCTTTTTTTAAAGTTTTCAGTTGCCCACTTTCAGTATCACAGATTTGTTCATACACTTTCTTTATTAATCTTATCACTTGCATTTCAACCACTGTGTCTATTATGTTAATTATATACTGTTTAGTAACATACAAACAATGGTCTTCATGGCTTGGGGCTAGCCATTCTGTAGAGAGAGACTGAGTCTTACTAGATAAAACTCTGTGCAATGAAGTTGATCCTCTTGACTTTAATCTTTTTTTTTCATTTTTTTTTCCCCTTTAGAATAAAGATCAGTACCACTGCAGGCTACCTCATATGGCTTGTTGTTTGAGTTATAGACAATGGTTAACATGTTGGTCACCCCTGATCTAGAGATACTTGGGGGGGGGGAGAGTTGTTGAAAATAAAAATGCAAACAGGCAGGTGAAATACTTCTATCAGCAGCTGGCGGAATGTTTAAGGATGCATGGTTCTCATGCTGGAGACCCTGTTTCAAATTCTTAGTAAGGCTAGGAATTATTTTCTGTCATAGGAAAACAACCTGCAAGTCTGGGGCGACAGCACCAGCCATTCGGCCCTAAATCCTTAGGCTCTAAGACCACCCTCCTCCCCTTCCGTCTTCACCGCAAAAGTGGCAAATACAGGCAGTAATGGCAGTTTTAGCTGAAATATTTCTGCCACACAGAAATCTTTTAGCCACATTAAAAGAGAAAGCACTCTTATGAAAACTACACTGGAGAGAAAATGTGAAGGTACTTTCTCATATGAAACCAAATTAATAGCGATCTGTGTGCTTCTTTATTTCAGAACCCGAAGTTTCAGGTAATCCTTTTCTGCTGGGCTTTAGGCGATAAATGCATTTCTTTTGAATATAAATAAATTAACATAATTATAAGCAAATCTATGCACCCATGGTACACATGTAGAAAACAGTCTTAACAGTATCAAAGTAGAGCAGTTTCTAGGGTCAGATTTCATGCTGGAATAATTCTCAAGTAAGCATAGATTTCAGTTTGTTGCATTTTTGGTTTAGTTCAACTTCATTCACAGATCAGAAATACAGGTAAATGTATTTAAATAGTTTTTTATTTAATACCAGAGCATCACTTCAAAGTTTGTTTAGGTTATCCATTATGTTCTGAATTGTTTTGTTGGTGTTTTATTTTGGTTTTTTTTCAAACTTACTTTAATAAGTTTACTCACACATATTATTATACACATGTAAGTAAACTTGTTTTGTGTGTGTGTGTGCCAATGTAATTTTAACTGTGATAAAGAAAAGGGGTTACAGCAAATAAAAACGACTAATAATGCCACATTAGGGACATCACATTAATCGTTCCAATAATTCAGAAAAATGGTTGGATCTAAGAAATGTGTAAAATAAGATTAACATACAATGACTCATTAAATGTTTTCATTTATATAATGCTTGTCTCAACAAATACTGAACGTAGTTCATTATTCAAATTCTTTTTTTTTTAAATCCTTAGCAGCTGTAAATAGCAGACGCATACCCACCTTACTTTTTTCTCTACATGTGTGTGCCTGTGTCTGTGTGTATGTGTGCAAGACCAGATTTGGACTTGATGAGGACCTAAGCTATGTAAAGCCATGAGGCCCCTGACATTATAAATTACACCAGTTATCTCCCTGAATTTTAAAATAAATGTAAAAGTTAATTAAAAAAAAGCAGAAGTTGGTCCATATCAAGGTAATTTCTTCAATTTAAATTGGCCACAAGTTAGAATAAATAAAAGCCTAAAAAAATGTACCTAGAAAACAATAAAACTGGAAATTTTCTAGGTAATTTATAGAAAAAGAAAATTGCATTTCTGATTTTTTTTTTTTAAGGGAGTTCTTTCCTAATATCCTACTTCACATGACGTCACAGGACAGTCCAACGTTTTAGAGGGTGGTAATACTGGGTTTCCTGACTTTTTGATGCTTTTAACTACGCCAAAACATCTAAAACTGGCCCAACCCACCTGTGTCCCACGACTGCTTGCAGCCTAGGTGCCACGACTGCAGCCTCTCTACCACCCCCAGAAATATTAGACTGTCCCGTGACCTGTGGATTTACCTTGTTTAGGGTAGGATATTAAGAAAGCACCAAAAAAGAGAATTTGTTGAGGCTCCTGCAGACTTTGAGGTCCTAAGTTAAAGCTTAGTTAGTTTGTGCCTAAATCTAGCAGTGTCTCTATGTGTGTGTGCATGTATGTTTATGTCTATATGTAAGTGTGTGTGCATCTGTGTGTGTGTCTGCATGTAAGTGTGTGTGTGCATGTAAGTGTGTGTGTCTGTGTGTGTGTGTGCATGTAAGTGTGTTTGTTCAGGGAAGCTGAGAAAGTACCAATCCATATTTCATGTGCCAGTTTGCAACAGTTCTATTTTTAGCTCACGGTAAAGACAAAAGTAAATGACCCATTTCTTGCTAGTGGCACATTGGGCATGTGTTGCTAGACTCGTATATTTATAGACCAGTTCAGTTCTCGATAGTTTTTTGTGGTCAGCCTCATGCCGGTTGCCTTTGCTTTCCAGGACTTTATCTAATAGCTATTTTAGACAAGGTCAACCTGGTAGCCAAGGTCATTTCTGAAAGGAGAAAAAATGTATAGTATTGAACCATCTGACCAGCAGGGTTAGTATATAGCTGCTACACCACCATGTCTTTCTTTTTTAAGCTTATAGTAAAGTAAAGTAAAGGATCCTTTTCCGTGCTTTAGGCATACAGGGCATATAGGGCTAGACCTATATTTTATAGACCAATTGGCACACAATGGGTGATGTGGTCAGCATCACACAGGCCACCTTTACTTCCCAGGACTGCACCAGGTACCCACTCAAGGTTGGGTCGACCTGGGAGCTAAGGACGTTTTTGAAAAAAGTCCAAGGACCTTCCGATCCATGGCGAGCATCTAGCCGCTCCTTTTTAAGCTTATAGGGCACATAGTTTTAATTCATATCCATCTTCCAGCACTTCTAAAAATTCATCTCGGGTAATTTGTGAGTGAATCTGTGTTACACTAAAAGATAATCATATTTTTAAGCTATTTAAACCATATTTTAGTTTTACAGTGTTGTGCTGAAATGTTAAAAAATAACAAATTACTGGTGGCAACATCATCATCAGGTGCCTTGCCGACTGGCGTGGGCGATCATGCCTCTCCACAATCTGCAATCTCCTGCAGCATGTATCAGTTTGTGTGCTGACACATCTCCATACCATGCAACAGGACTCTCAAGAATCTTCTCTCGTTGTCTTCCTCTATCCCTCCTTCCACAGATCTTTTCAGTGGTCACCACATTTTCTATTTTGCCTCTTCTCATAACATGGCAGAAATATGATGACTGTCTCCTTCTGATGTCTGTGATAAGTATTTTCGGGCTCCCGCCTCTTCCAAAACCTCTTGGTTGCTCTTTTTGGCTGTCCAAGATATTTTCAGCATTCTTCTGTAAAACCACATCTCTGAGGCCTCTGGTGGCATGCAATTTGTTTATTTGTGACTGTGTTGTGTGATATTCTACTATTTTAAATACTGTTGTGCTAATGCAGCTATTATATGTTGTCAGGGGAAAGAAATGACAGAACACAGAATGAAGCCTCGGACAGGAAGTCTCAAGATGGCAAAGATGATGATGATGATGCTCAGGATGAAGCAGCAAAAAATACACAGGAGCATTATGGGCAAGAGGATGATGGGGAGACAGGCAGAGCACGTGATGCTGATGATAGGACAGACAATAACAGCGCAGACCATAGACAAAGTAAGATTGTTAACTCTTTTTGTCTGAAACAACACACTATTAGGGGACTAGGTATTATTGATATACAGCTGAATAGCTTTCACATGTGATGTCTAAGAAGAATACTTGGCATTAAGTGGCAGGACAAAATCACAAACACTGAGGTATTGGAAAAAGCAGGTACTACAACAGTCTTCTCAATGCTCAGTCTATGAAGGCTCAGGTGGCTGGGTCACACCTGGAGAATGGAGGATGGTAGAGTCCCTAAGGACATCCTTTATGGTGAATTACAGACAGAAAGAAGATGTCGAGGCCGACCTCTACTACGGTAGAAAGATTTGTGCAAGTGGGACATGACTGATACTGGTATTGAGGTGGACTCAATATGCCATGAATCATGTTGTGTGGAAAGGGTATATAGGGAGGTAATGAGAGTGAAGGAAGAAATGATTGCAGAAAAGATGAGAACGTCGCTCTCATCACGGTCTGCCTGAAAGAAACTCCGTCTCTCGCCAGCTCTCCCACCTCATGCACTTTCATACTCAAGGGGTCACTTATATCATGTGCCCATCTTCGTGTTGGCCGGCCCCCTTCCTGGTACCATGCCTTCTGCTATAATTTTTTCCAATCCGTTGTGCCGCTTGATATGACCAAAATATATCAGCTTTCGGTATCTATTTATACATTTCATAATATTTTATCCCTTATTTTTTGCTTAGAAAATGTGTGTGTCATGTTGGGACTGGGAATGAACAAACAAAGGGATGAAAGAGCAGGCCCCCCCCCCCCCCACCCCCCTCCCCACCCTTTCAGCCCATTCTTTGAGGCAGATGCCTGGATGGATCTCCCAAAAAAACTGCATTCATGAAGTTGTGATACTTTTATAAAACTTGCCCACTACTTTCAGAGTGCAAGGCAAACAATGGTTAATTTGCTTGCTCTAGCCAATGGTCCAGTTCCAACCCTTAGGAGATTCTAGTTGCTTCTTCTGAGAAAGAATTCATGCTGTTTGTGAATCATCAAGAGAGGGTCAGTGTATCATATTCAACTAAGAACGACAGGAGACAACAGACTTTGCTAACATATTTTCAAGTTTCTCTGTATGGGAAATCCAGAGATGTGTCCCTGTAACTTGGCACCTGAAAATGCTGAGCTTGTGCTCCAGCACTGTAGACTTATGCTGCTAACAGAAAGTGCTATCTGGCCTGTGTCAAAATAAAACTGTATAGCATACAGTTTGGAAGCAACAGAGATGTGGTTTCTGAGACGAATGTTACGAATACCTTGGGCGGCCAGAGTAACTAACAACAATTGCTTGAGAGAAGCTAATGAAAGTAGATCTCTATATACAGCAATAAGAAAGAAACCAACACTGTTCTTTGGCCACACAATGAGAAGAGAGCCATTGGAGAACATCGTGACAACTGGAAAGATCTGTGGAAAAAGGGGTAGTGGCAGACCAAGAGAGATGATGCTGGATGGGCTAAAACGATAGCATGGAGGGATAACATCAAGAGAGCTGTTCCAGTTAACCAGGGATCGTGATCTGTGGAGATGCATGAGTGCCTACACCAGTTGACAGGGCACATGATGATGATGATAGCATACAAGGATATCTGCACGCTAGCCTTCATCAGGGCTATTAGCCTCCTGATACAAGTTTTTCTGGCAGAAGTAACAAAGAAGAAGAAAGAAGAAGTATTTTCATTACTGTCTCATGGCAAGTTAGATTATCATGTTGTCAAATTTGTGAAATAATTATCAGAAGCTGAAAAGGCAGAGGATGTTGAAGAGCTCCAACTTGAGACTGATGTCAAAGAACAAAATGGTATTGGCTTGCTGCTTTATATACTCACAGCTGGTTGTTTGAGCTGATTTTACACAGCAGTGTTTTGTATAATCACTTTGAAACTGACATACAGTAGTGAATTTCAGACACTGTTGCTAGATCAAATTCACTGCACCAAACTGTTCATCATTCATATTTCATATTTACAAACCATCCTGATAGAGTCATTGTGTAAAACTACCTTTGGAACAAGCACAATGCTCACAGGCACACGGAAGAAAAAGACAAAACTTAACTCAATTCCCTACTTGCACAGGACTGCAGGTTACACCACTTTGGTGTAGCTTTGGGTTTCAATACAGTATACACCTTAGCACATAAAGTATACATACTGGCACATAAAGTGTACCCACTGGCACACATAGTATACACATTAGCACATATAGTATCACATTAACACAAATAAAATACACATTAGCACATATATTATACACTTTAGCACATATAGTATACACGTTAGCACATTTAGCCCACATATTAGCACCTAAGCACATATAGTATGCACATTAGCACATAAAGCAAACATATTAGTACATATAGTTTGCACATTAGCAAATATAGCCTACTAATAAGTACATATAGTATGCGCATTAGCACATATAGCATACATATAAATACATATAGTTTGCACATTAGTGCATATAGCGGACCTGTTTACATTTCCAGACCTAGGATTAGGATAACATCCCTTGCCATTCATGCCTCCTTAGGTCGCTGGACCTCTCCTGTGTTGCGGGGGGTGTTATAGTATGGCTTGGTTTGGCATTCACTTAGCAAATGTAATGTTTGTGGGAGTTGTATTGTTGTGAGTCTATTTCAGACACCACAGGCACCTGTGTACAAGCAAAAAGTACTGCAGGGGAAAGCGCCGCAGGCGCGATGATTCTTGGCTAACAAAACTGAGATATTTTTTTTATTTCTACATTCGTTGGCAGTGACTTCCCCCAAGAGAAAAAAAGCAGTTACAAGGAGCATAGGAATAGAAAAAAAGCTGTTTCTATACTCCTGATTCATCGGGCAGGTAGCAGAATGTGAAAATAATCACGCAAGGGAGTGGAGAGAGGACGAGAAAAGAGGCAACGGTTAAACCGTTTAGAAAAAGGAAAACATTATTCCCCCCACAAAATAGGAGAGGTCCAGCAACAAAAGGAGGCATGAATGGCAAGAGAAACTCTAATCCTGGGCCAGGAAACCTGAACAGCACCCATATAGCATACATTAGCTCGTATAGCATGCACATATGTTCTTATAACAGTAACACTACAATGCGTCCAGTGCTTGTCTAGTAACCTTTTCATTGCTTCAGCTCTATGGTGCTAGTAATCATTTTGTTTGTTCAGTCTGCCGGAGTTAACAGAGATATTGTGGTTTTAGCTTATTCTTCCAAACCTTTTTAAAAGCTAGCAGAAGAAAACATGATCACCACACTATTCACCCTCTCCCCAAAGCAAAAAGCCGGCAACATCAAAATAAACGGAATACCCCTGAGAGATGATAAAGAGCCCACATACCTAGGAGTCACATTTGATGACAGGTTGACTTGGAGAAAACATATCAACAAGGCAGCAACCAAAGCCAGGAGGAAGACAGCAATACTAAGAAAACTAAGTGGAACCACATGGGGAGCCGATGGGAAAATACTCAATAAAGTATACAAGCAGAGCATACTTCCACACTTGGAATATGGGTCAACTGCATGGTGTTCAGCATCTAGTACCACATTAAAGGAGTTAGACAAAGTGCAAAATCAAGCGCTGAGAGTCATCACATGAGGGATGAAATCAACCCCCATATTAGAAATGGAGAAAGCTGGGAAAACACAGGCACTGAGAGAACGCAGAGATACAAAGTTGCAGATACAAGCTGAAAAGTTCCTCAGTATGCCAGATCACCCGATGGAAAATAGATTTAAGAACCTAGCCTTGAGATGGTTAAAAGGAAGCAGCTTTATACACCAAGCAAAAAGAATATGTAGACAAACTCCTGACCTTCCAGAAATTGGTTGCCCACCTAAAAGTATTCCGGAACAAACCCCATAGAGAGATAAATGTAAACTAACGGTACAAATCCAGACAAATGTGAAAGGGATATTTGACAAGAAAGAGCAAGATAGTGTACAACGCAGAATGGCCACCCTCAGTTATATTGATGAAGAATACCCACAAGAACAATGGGTCAGAGTCTATACAGATGGGTCCGCAGAAAATGCAGTTAGAAATGGTGGCGCTGGAGTGTACATCGAATTCCCAGATGGTGCTAGGGATAAGTCCAGCGTACCAACCGGGAAGTACTGCCATAACTACGATGCAGAAACCCAGGCTATCAAGATAGCTACAGAGAAACTGCTAAATACCAACCTTGGCTCACAGTATGTGATAATGGTGACAGATGCTAAATTAGTACTTGAAGCACTCCAGTCTAGGAAACTACCAGAATTGCAAACACTGCTGACACAACTCAGCGTTCAGCGAAGAGTCGTAATGCAGTGGATACCGTCTCATTGTGCCTGGAAATGAGAAAGCTGATCAACTGGCAGGGGAAGGTGCGACAAACGAGCAGCCGGATGTACCAGTCACATACCACCAAAAGAACAGAATCATTAAATCGATCAGGAAACCACCAGCCCCAGCACAAGACGACTATTTTATTATGGACAGACCAGATTGTGTGTGTGCCAACTTACTACATAACTGTGTGTTTATTCAGGCACTTATGCACTAATCCAGCACTGTTTATGCATGGTACAACCTTGAAAATGCCATATATTCCTTGAGAAATCCTTGAAAACCCTTGGGAAAAAAAGTTAGTAGATTTTGGCTACAAACCCTGATTATCTGCTGTCGTGTCCTCAAAGATAGCATAGACAGGCTTCACCAAGCTTTACTTGTAGTTCACATACCTACATGCAGGGGTTATCTAAGAAAGGTTTGCATGTAACAAGCAAATTCATCTCAAAGAAAACTTAGCCGTAGAATTAAACCTGCCTTGAGTAAGTTTAGCAAGAACTTCAGTTGGTGGAGGGCCTATATTCCACTGAGTGTTGAAAGAAAAAAATGAGAAAGAATAGCATGCCAAATCTCTAAAGGCTTTGAGCACATGTTGATCATTTTGAGCATTACTATGCAATAACTTCTATATATATATAATAATTTTTTTTATTTTGTCCAGGTTTTAAAATTGCACATTGTTGCCACATGAAACCATAAAATCAACACTTCTTGGGGGGCCTATTCCCCATAAATGTCACTTTGCCACTGATGACCTGTTTTTAAGACATATATTATTTCTGTTGGCTATCTTCACACCTGTGCATATGTTTATGAGGCCAAGGTGTGAATTAATAACTAAAACTAGCATGTGAAGTTGGGGGGGGGGGAGGGGGGGAGGGGGGGTTCCTTTAAACTGAATAATATTTTTAAAGCTTAGCTGATGTGTCAGATTTTCCTGTAAGTATCAGTGATAGAGGTGACATCATGAGTCACCCAATAAATACATTTACTTTAGACCCCAGAGAATGTATTCCATTTATTGCCTTACCCATGCTTAATGAGAAATGAGATGCTTACGTAAGGCTGCCAATGTCACAAGGAGAGACAGAGTTCGAAACGAGAACATTAGAGCAATTGTAGGAACCACACCATGCCTGCAATACATAAAGAAGCAACAAATAGAGTGGTTTGGCCACTTGATGCGAATGCAAACCGACCAACTGCCTCTACGAGCAAAGAGGCAGACCGAGAGTACGATGGATTGACAATATATCAGAGATCCTGAGGCAACACGGACTAACAACAACACGTGCAACACACCTGGCCCAGGATAGAAAACTGCGACTCCCCCACTACGCTGTGAGGCAATTGTGGACAAGACAAGACAAGACAAGACCCATGCTTAATAATTTTTCTTTTTATATATCTTTATATGTTTTGAAAGAAATTCATATTTTTTTTATTATTATTAATATGTGACCTGTGTAAAAGTTGTTTTTTAAAGAATTTCTTCTAAGAATTTCCATGACCCTTTCAAAAATTATTATTACTGGAGCAAATAAGATTAAGTACATCCTTTATTAAAACTTGGAATATGAATATATTTTGAAAGCCATTGAATTATTAGAGCCACAATTTTATAAAATTCTCCCTTGTTGTTTGGAGCAGCCATTGATTGGATAATGACAAAATGTTGCAAAGGTGATACTGCCACTGATTGGGTGGAGAATAAACGACCAGAAAATCTCAGTTTCATAGATTATATTGTTCTGTTGAGTAAAAAAAAAAAAAAAAAAGGCATGAACACACACACACACAAAACACACAGACTTTTTTTGTGTGTGTCTAGAGCAACAAAAATACGACTACAGATAAGTTATGAGAAAACAAAAATATTAACGATACCAACAACAGATCATGTAAATGTCATGCTAGGAAAAAAAACCAGTTAAAAAATAATGAATTATTTCAATTATTTTGTTAGCAGTTTTGACTATCAAGGAGATGTGACGAAGGAAATTATGATACACATTGGCAAAGCAACAACAGTCTTTAAAAGCCTTAACAAAATATACTACTCCATGTTATACAGCTTTAAGACCTAACTACGAATCTTCACTTCTAAGGTTATTTCACTTCTAAGGTTATTTCACTTCTAACATGCGCCAGCAACAGTTGGAGAACCACCAAAGATATGGAACAAAACTAAAATGCATTTGATAATAAATGTCTGAGAAAAAAGATGAACATAAAATAGAATGAATTAAAAAAGAGTGAGAAGATCGGAGAAATGACTGCACAAATGCCTCTATCGACTGCAATAACACAAAACAGGTCGAAATATATTTTGCACACTGTGATACAAAATGAGCAAAGAATTACAAAACAGGCAATAAAATGGGAAACAAATTGTATAAGAAAAGGAAGACTTTTAAGGGAAACATTAAGAAGAACATAATTACGAGAGGAAAAAAAAATGCTGGGCTGATCTTCATGTCAGAAATCGAGAAAGTTGTGTGCAATAGAGCATAGTGGAGTAATCAAATGGGAACCCTATGTGACATCTAATGGCACACAAAGGATGATGATGAATTTTTCTGTGAATTACACACTTGAAAAGTTAATAAAAAAAAAACTTGCATATTTCTGTGCAACAAGTGTAGATTTGATTTGTCTTAATTTGCAGTGTTCATGTTTGTGTGTTGGGGGTATCTCCCATTAGCAGAGAAGTTGGGGTCCTCCGCTAGTTTACAGGATACCCTTGGGAAGGTGAAAACCCATCAGGCAATATTAAACCATGAGAGCAAGCAGTGGCTTAAGCTTGTGAGACTTATGCGATATTGCATGTGAAGTTGCTGATTTATTGTAACCACTGTTTTAGTCAGAGGAAATGCAATTCTAGTGGTGGACTGTTTTGTGTCAGCATTTCTGACAGCTACCACCTAATGTGTGTCTATGATTGTGGCTTTGCCAGAGCTGCAGCCTATTTCCAGGTGGTTTTTTTATGAGGCATTTAAAGGCATTCTCTGTGGTTTTTAATGGCATATGAATGCAGCAATTATGGGGTGACTCATTGTGGAAAGTTGGCACTGCAACTAACTTATTTATTTATTCATTGCATATCCTGGTCCCACAACAGGGGGACGTAAATCTCAAGGTTCAGACCATAATTCTGTCAATGGGGAACAGGAGGACCAAGAAAGAGGCTACCATGGTGATGCTGATGATAATATCAACTCAGAACAGCGGAAGGGTTAGTTCACTCAGTTACAACTTGTTTAATATGTAACCCTTTCTCCGCATAACAGTCTTAAACAATGACCTTTTTGTTCCCAACAAAATTTTAAAAGAAACTCATCCTTATGATTCTCTGAAACTCTACTTTGAGAAACCAGAGGAAGAGAAGAAGAAGCAGAAGTCATTAAGAGTCTTAGGCAGTTTTTATAAACACCCAGGGAGTCTATTCTAAAGTGTGAAGTCTAAAGCTACAACACGGCCATCAAATCTGGAGGTTGAGTGGTCTCGAGGCAAGGCGAGTGCTGGTTCAGGCCCCGATGAAGGTTGGATTTTTTCCCATGGACTTCTAATAATTTCCCCTATCTCTGGGTATTAAGATCGGACGCCCATTTGTGTTGTTATGCAAGTTTTAAAAAATCTCTTGGCAGTTGGAAATCGAAAAGAATAGCCTAACTGCGCTGCCTGGACAAAATTTGGAGTTCAGAATCTACCCAAAGTATTTCAGGATCCTTGCTGGTGCTACGGAGTTCATGCACTGCGCCAAGATTCTTCAGACTCATGCTTGAGTTGGAAGTAGAACAGAGCACTTATGAGTTACTACCCTTGTGCCATGATGTTGATCCGTTGTTCAAACCAAACCAATTGCTGCAATAGATCTTCATCTGTGGTTCACCATGGATGAACACTCTTTCAGACTTCAGTTTGTTCACCTCTTGATGTTATCCTCCCACTTGTATCACTAGCTGTCTCTTTCTCTCAAGTATGCATGTGTGTGTGTGATTGTGTGTGTATGTATGTGGATATATGAAGTATATTTAGGTTTGTGAGTGTGTGTGTATTTATGTTTGTATGTTGTAAGTATGTGTGATAGTATATGAGTATATGTGTGATTGTGGGTGTGTGTGTATATAATGTATGCAAGTATGTGTGTATGCAGGTATGTATGTGTCTATGTAATATCTGTATGGGTGATTGTAAATGTGTGTATGCATGCATGTGTGTGTATGTATGTAATGTGTGTGGGCATGTATGTATGCATGTATGTATGTATCTATGTGTGTATATATATGCATGTTGGTGAATGTATGTATGCATATTTAGCTGTGTACGTATGTGGGTGTTTGTGTGTGTATTTAGGTATGTATATATGTGTGTAAAGATGTGAGTGTATGTATAAATGTGTGTATGTATGCATGTATGTGTATGTATGTATGCATGTTTGTGGGTGTATGTATTCATGTGAGTGTAAATGTGTGGTTGTGGGCATATGTTGGTGTCTGTACATGTGATTGTATATGTGTGTATGCATGGATGCATGTATAGGTGTGTATGTATGGAATGTGTGTGTGCATGTATATCCATAAATGTATGTGTGTGTGTTTTCTGTTTGTGCATTTATGTCTATGTATGTGTACGTGTTTTATGTTTGTGTATGTATGTAGATGTGTGTGTGTATTACGTATGTCTGTATATGAGTGTACATGTATGAGAATATAGAGTATGTATACGTGTGTGTGAGTGTGTATGATTGTGTACACATGATGAGTGTATGCATTATTCTATAATTTATATTTCTTTATTATATCCATAACATGCATTTTTGAAAACAGCCATTGGTACTCTGAAAAATGAGGGCTTAGAAGGGCCGAATGTCAGACGGGCCTGCGTGCCCAATTTGTAACCCTTTGAAAATAAAGTTTGTTTATTTGTTTGTTCGTTCCTTCTCTTGCCTTCAAATTATCTCTGTGTTTTAAGTCTTTTAATATAGCAGAAATATTTCACTTGGATCTTTTTGTACTTATTTCAGCAGCTCTCTATTATTCACAGTCTCTTTAGAACATCTGCATTTGATTGTTTTTGTTTTCATGAAATATAAACTATTTTTCTGTAAATCCACATTTTCAGAGATTCAGTGCAAATGTCTAATTTTTTGTTTGTTGTTCAGTTGTTTGCACTGTACAGCAGGGTTGAGTTCTCATAACACTGTAAGGCTATTCTCATTTGTAAGGTGTTGTTTATCTCTCTAGATGTCTGTAATTTCTGCATGCTGTTGAAACACACTGAATTGGTTGGTTCTAAACATATTCACACACCTGTCTTTAGACACAAAATGGCCATAATGATTATGTTATTTGATCTTGTGTTTTTCTTTAGGTACATTGATAATTTTATGTTTATAAATAACAGTTTAGATTTAATGTTCAATTTTAATTGATAAATTGTTGAATGTAAGTTAACAAATGAATTTTACATTTTCAGGTTTCTATACCCTAGTGAAATGCTATAACTTCCAGGACATAACTTTTTTGTTGTTTAGTTTTTTTGTTTTCTTTTTGTTAACTTATATTAACATATTTTACATTTTTAAATTACATATTTGGATGACGGTAAAAGTGTGACTTTTCAGTTTAAAAGCAAACTTAACTCTTTCAGGCCCATGAATTTTGACAGACTTGGCCCACATTAATTTCCCTTTACAAAAATGGCAGAGGGGTGGGTGCACAAGAAAGGCTGTAGAGATTGTAATATACTTCTAATCCCTATAACAGTACATATTTTTTAAAAGAGAAATGAATGTACATTTTGAATCTGATGATAAGTGTTTGTTTGATTTTGTTATAGTTAGTGAAAAAGAAGAATTCAGCAGGTGTTAATTTCACAAGGACAACATTTCACACAAAAATTCTTCACTTACCATAGTTTTGCAGCCACAAGAATAGTAAACATCCAAATTTGAGAACAAAACTTCAAAGTTTGTTCAATTTCCTAATATATTCTAAACTTATGATAACTTTCTGGGTTAGTTTATCACTCAGGGGCTCTTAGTTCTCACAGAGTACTAAGCAAAGTTTCAGAGAAAAAACGGCAGAAAAATGAGCCATTACACACACACTATTTACTATTCACAGTTGTACAGTTATTTACAGACTGTAGCTGCGATAATTTCAATGTAGCTTAGCCCTAGTATAGTACTATCTCTTTGTTTAGAGCACTTTCCTTCTCTTACACCATAAATACGGTAGTATGGGACATTGTATGTAATATAAATTCATCAGAATCGCTAGATTCCGAACAGCTGATCGCTCAGCTTCACTGGTGAAAATTCACCGTCCGAATCACTTTCCGAAAAATCCAAATTTTTATTATCATTATCACAATTAAAAACATCTGACTGAAACAATTTCAGAGCTTCGGCCGCAGAAAGACGCATTCTGCGACCTGTTCTTGTGGTTGGAACATTGGTATTCATGGCACTCAAAAACAAACTTAGAAAATAAACAGTTAAAAAAATGTCACTGTTTTTTTCTCTCAAATTATCCAAGTGTGGTTTAGTCCGGGAAATGAAACTAAAAGGATTTCGGCAGAGTGACTTTCCCGGAATAGTTTAATCGTACCTACAAACATTAGAAACTAGTATGAACGCGCGTGCGAAGCAAAATGTAAGGGACAACGATTGACGATGACACTGTTATTTGGGCAGAACGGAACTTCTCAAACTACGCTCACACCGTTGTTTGGGCCTCAAAAGTTAAATTTTTTTTTTTTAAACCCTGAAGTCTGCAAGACCTTAGTATGCCTAAGATGATAATGTCTACAATAAAGCTGGCTGCATTTCTTTTTCAGATGCACCCCAGCATTTACGGGTTGTTGTGTAGTGTTGTGAGGCAGTTTTACATTCTGTAGTTTTCCATTGTATCCTCTGTAGCTTTTGGGTTGACAGTCTCATATAAATGTAAAGTAAAGAGACTAATTCCTGGCCATCTCGCGTACTGTGCTAGACATTCATTTTATAGACTAGCCACCAATCAGTGGATGATGTGGTCAACATCTCACAAGTCACCTTTACTTCCCAGGACTTTACCTGGTATCCACTTGAGGCTCAGTTTGATTTGAACATCCGCAGACAGGTGTCTGTCGCTACACTGTGTTGGCTCCTCTCATATAAATGGGTGGTAAATAATTTTCTAGGGGGGAACTGACCAGTCTATTCCATAAGCTATGACTATAGTTTCTAACAAGCCAAATACTTCACATCCTAGTTGCAGTATTTCCAATGGAAAGGGCCTTTGCCTTTTTTTTTTTAAATCTTTCCAAGAGCACATCTGACTTTCTAGGATTTTCCAGAACTGAACTAGTAAATTAAAAGCAGTATGATGTTATATCTCTGTTACTTTCATCCAAACATTAAATTGCTGTTATCTTTTTGTTTCATTTATAGTTGATATTGTGTAAGTTTTGTAATTAATTGTTGCTGAGACTCTTGTATTTCAAGAAACAAATCTATAATGTTTAATTACAAAATGTGTACCATGGGTTTCCATTAGTTAGACCACTATCATATACCAGGTCTGAATTTGTAGGCAAAGGATAGTAACAGGCAATGATGATTATTGCCATATTCAAATTTATTAAGAATATTTACCATTTTTTTTAAATATTTTTTTTTTGCATGAACTTTCAAAACATGCTGTTTCATTCATTTTTATTCGGAGAAATGTTATAATTTTTTGTTCTATTTTGCATGGTTGTTTTTTAGCTATGCTCAGGGACCTCATTAGTATAAGCATCAAATTTTAATTTATGCACCTGACAGTTGGTATTATTCATGATGTGGAACTAAACACTTGCCTGAAGGTCATGGATTTAAATCCACACTGAGCCAGATTTTTCTGCAAAAGTGACTTTGGCTTCCAGGCTGACCTAGCCTAAAATAGGTACCAGGCAAAGTTCTGGGAAGGAAAGACGGGATGCTGATAACTTTATCTGCCAAGTGCTATAAACTAGTCTATAAAATACAGATCTACCACAGTGGGCCCAGTATGTCTAAGACTGTTGGAAAGGGTTCTTTATTGTGATTAATATTGAGGTTTTTGTTTTGTTGTTGTTGTAAAATTGTATTTATATTAAATTATTTTAGTCATAAATGCAAAGAATATCACACACTGAAAAAAATAAGTTCTTTAGCAACTCAGCCTCACAGAAATACTTGTGAAGATTATGTTAAATGCTGACATTTGACAAGATCAGAACATCAATTCAGACTGGATTATCAGAAGAATCATGTCTAGCTCAAAATGTGCAGTAATAGAAGACAACCTCTGGTGACAACAGTTATAAGGCAACAAAGATGGCACCATACTGGAATCTTCTTGAGAAGAAACCAATAGAGAATCACCAGACAGGCAATAAATTGGAAAATGAAAGGATTGAGGAAGTGAGAACGTCCAAAAGAAAAAGTAGAATGAACATTAATGAGTTATTGTTGTTGTTGTTAATGATCTAGCGGCGCATGGGATTTCACCCTCTTGCCCAAAGCCATATAGTGGAATTTGCATGTTTTTACAAGCTGTTTTTTCCTTCGTACAAGGTCTGGTCTCAGAGGGAGTAGCATTCTTCTAGTCTCGCTGAGTTTTGGGCACTCAAATAGATTGTGTTCAACAGTTTCGTAGAGGTAGTTACACAGCTGGCACTCTGGAGACTGTTAATATCAACTGTTACATGAGGAAGATCAAGACAGGCATGCGGACAGACTGGCTGACTCTGCACAGCTTGCTGGAATACTGATGCATGATAAGGCAGACGTGGTTAGTGCCTTGTGGGAGAGCGTGTACAGTTCGGAGGAGCAGACGGATCACCACAGTCTGGTGAGATTGATGCAGGGGGAAGTGACAAGAGGTTCTGGCAGATGTTCGAGGCTCAGAGTAAAGGCAAGATGGACATTTAATCCGAATGCTACTGGCACTATTAGTATCTGAATTCTTCACTGGCTGCTGAAGATGGGGATGGAGAGCTTATGGGAATGCCCCGAGTGCTGTGATGTCAGTTCTTAAATCAAATCAAATCAAATCAATGGTTTTTCCTTACGTTTTTTTTAGGACGTAATTTTTTGTTATTTGAAGCCCCACTCTGGCTTTTGCCAAGGGCCGCAATATAGGCAGGTCATCAATATGGCCAATTGTCTGAACGCGGTTTCTGGGACCTCTCCACGGTGATCCTCATCCACATGGTAGCACTTTGTGTCATCGGGTGTTTATCACTTGTGTGATGTCCTGGTGGGGTAGAAAGTCAGTAAGTCAGTCAAATCAAATCATGGGGAGTGTTGTGGCTGTATTCTGTTTGGATGTCCACATTAATGACAGAAGTCAAGAGTGCTAGACTAACTTCCATCCATGATACTGAAGTAATTGCACAGGACAGAAGGGAATGGAAAAATAGACTACAAGCCCTCTGCGACTTATAATGGCACAACAGAAAAATGAATGATGATGATAGAGAAATGGTTCCCAGAAGAAGAGGCAGGGGTCACCCATCACAATGGTAGACACAAGAGGCTAAAGACAAATAGGGCAAGACAACGGACTGAGACTTTCTAACAGGTCGATGATGAGATGAATGCTGTGCCAAAGATTTGGTACAAGATGATGATGATGACAGTGGTGGTGATGATGATGATGACGACGATGATGGTGATGATGAATAGAGAAATGGTAACCAGAAGAAGAGGCAGGGGTCACCCATCACAAATGTGGACACGAGAGGCTAAAGACAAACAGGGCAAGACAACGGACTGAGACTTTCTAACAGGTCGATGATGAGATGAATGCTGTGCCAAAGATTTGGTGCAAGATGGTGATGATGACAGTGGTGGTGATGATGATGACGACGACGATGATGGTGATGATGATGATGACAAAAGTTTCATTATGGCTGTTAATATGTAAAATTCAAAGTAGTAAAATGGGTAATTCAGAATAGTAAAATGTAAAATTCAGAAAAGTAAAATGCATAATTCACAATTAGTAAAATGTGAAATTTAAAATGCTGAAAATGTATAATGCAAGATGTATATTTTTTTCTTCCACTCAGTCACAGAGGAAGAAGCCGAAGCTGAAGCAGCTGATGACATAGAACAATCTGAAGGGGCTCCTGAAGGAGGGGAATAAACTTGTTAGTTTCACCTGATAATTGATGTGTAAGTATTTATTACGCTGGTCTCTTGATGGTATGTATTTCATCTGCTGCTCCCCAGATGGTTTAAAAGCAATTTATCTATAAGCCACCTTGTGGTATATAAGTATTTTATCTATTAGCATCCTGGTAGTATATAAGTATTTTATCTGTTAGCCTCCTGGTGGTATATAAGTATTTTATCTGTTAGCCTCCTGGTGGTATATAAGTATCTTATCTATTAGCCTTCTGGTGGTATATAAGTATCTTATCTATTAGCCTCCTGATGGTAATATAAATATTTTATCTATTAGCCTCCTGATGGTATATAAGTATTTTATCTATTAGCCTCCTGGTGGTATATACATATTTTATCTATTAGCCTTCTGTTGGTATTAGGTATCCTATCTATTAGCCTCCTGATGGTAATATAAGTATTTTATCTATTAGCCTCCTGGTGGTATATAAGTATTTTATCTATTAGCCTCCTGGTGGTTTATAAGTATCTTATCTATTAGCCTTCTGGTGGTATATAAGTATCTTATCTATTAGCCTCCTGATGGTAATAAAATATTTTATCTATTAGCCTCCTGATGGTTTATAAGTATTTTATCTATTAGCCTCCTGGTGGTATATACATATTTTATCTATTAGCCTTCTGTTGGTATTAGGTATCTTATCTATTAGCCTCCTGATTGTAATATAAGTATTTTATCTATTAGCCTCCTGGTGGTATATAAGTATCTTATCTATTAGCCTCCTAGTGGTACATACATAGTTTATCTATTAGCCTCCCGATGGTTTTTAAAGTATTTTATCTATTGGCCTCCTTAGGGTATATAAGTATTTTATCTATTAGCCTCCTTAGGGTATATAAGTATTTTATCTATTAGCCTCCTTAGGGTATATAAGTATTGAGTAAAGTAAAGGGCCCTTTTCCACACCTTTAGGGAAATAGGGCTAGACCTATATTTTTATAGACCAATCGGCATAAGATGGGTGATGTGGTCATCATCACGCGGCCGCCTCTACTTCCTGGGACTGCACCCTGTACCCACTCAAGGCTGGGTCGACCTGAGAGCCAAGGTTATTTTTTGAAAAAAGTCCGGCTCTACCAGGGAGCGAGTCCACCACCTTCCAATCCACGGCAAGCGTCCTACTGCTCCGCCACGGGTCTTCCAGGGTATATAAGTATTTTATCTATTAGCCTCCAGATGGTATATAAGTATTTTATCTGTTAGACTCCAGGTGGTATATAAGTATTTTATCTATTAGCCTCCAGATTGTATATAAGTATTTTATCTATTAGCCTCCAGATGGTATATAAGTATTTTATCTATTAGCCTCCAGATTGTATATAAGTATTTTATCTATTAGCCTCCAGACGGCATATAAGTATTTTATCTATTAGCCTCCAAATGGTATATAAGTATTTTATCTATTAGCCTCCAGATGGTATATAAGTATTTTATCTATTAGCCTCCAGATTGTATATAAGTATTTTATCTATTAGCCTCCAGATGGTATATAAGTATTTTATCTATTAGCCTCCAGGTGGTATATAAGTATTTTATCTATTAGCCTCCAGATTGTACATAAGTATTTTATCTTTTAGCCTCCAGATTGTATATAAGTATTTTATCTATTAGCCTCCAGATGGTGTATAAGTATTCTATTAGCCTCCAGATCGTATATTTATATATTTTATTTATTATCCTTCTGATGGTGGATAAATTTTTTATCTATTAACCTTCTGATGGTATATAAGTATTTTATCTATTATCCTTCTGATGGTTTATAAGTATTTTATCTTTTAGTCTGCTGATGTTATATAACTGTCAGTATGCTGGCAGTATATAAGTATTTCATTTGTTATTCTTTCTGATGGTATGTAAGCAGGACTTCTTTCTGATGGTATCCAATACTGACATCTTTTTAAAGGTAATTTTTCAGCACTACTGTAATAGACACCTTGTGGTGAGTACCGGCACCTTTTATTTTAGGAAAAAACTGAAGTTAATATTTGATCAGTTTGTCTCCCGGTGGTAAATAAGCATTTCATCTGTTAGTCTCGTGGTAGTGTGTAAGTATTTAAATTCTTATTCTCCTGGTGGTATGTATTTCCTCGATTAGTCTGCTGGTGATACACTAGTATTTCATCTCTTAGTCTGCTGATGGTATATAAGTATTTTATCAGTTAGTCTGCCAGTGGTATATGAGCATTTGATCTGTTTCTCCTGAAGGTATTAAGTATTCAATCTGTTAGTCTGCAGGTGGTATATAAGTATTTCCTCAGTTAGTCTGCCAATTGTAAATAAGTATTTTATCTGTTATTCTCTTAGCCATGTATACATATTTCATCTGTTATTCTCTAAGCAATGTATACATATTTCATCTGTTATTCTCTTAGTCATGTATAAATATTTCATCTGTTTGTCTCCTGACAGTACATAAGTGTTTTATCTCTTGTGTCCTCATTGTAAAAAAAAAAACGTTTTCTGCTGGGATCTCCATTTGTAGACTGCTGACAAGCATGCAGTCATGTAAGTTTCACATTACCTACTACCCTGACATTACGTATTTATCTGTCAATGGCAGCATGCTTCATAATTCCAAAATACCTGGTTTGATTCTAGTTGTGGACAATTTAGCAGCAGATTTTGACAGTGGTGTGGAGTACCAACCATTTAAGAGGCAATGAGAGAACTAGTGAGCGTAAAATTGCCTTGTGAAATCACAAACAGACGAATAGTAGTAGGTTTGGTTCTGCACACTCATAGACAGAATACCCAAATAGCTGTTGTTTTTTTTTTTTAAATTTACCTTAAAACATCTTTTTATCATTATTTTTTCTCCCTTTAAATACATTTATTAACTCATTTTGTTTGAGCAGCGTGTAGATTTCAATTTGTGTGTCTTGTTCACAGACGAAGTTTGAAAGGTCAGTCCCATTAGAACAGTATCAAACAATCAAAAGTTCAAGTACATTTCAAGTCAGCCTGCACCACCACAGTGTCAGATAAGAAGACTTCACTTGACTGGAGGGCCATGACGTGGCTTGATCAACTGAAATATTTCGATGACAAGACAGTTTCATAGAAAACAGTTGACAGCATGTATTTTAGACCCGGGCTAGTTGTAACATTTTCATTCCATAGTTAAATATAAAATAAACCAATAGAGATGCACATTGATTGAAACTTGTCCTTAGAAGTAGAGAGACAGAAGAACACACTAGAAAACATAAATATCAGAAGCCATGCCAGGAATTGAACTTGTCGTCTGCAAATAATGACCTCACCTTGCTGCAGGACCAACTCATCATCATCATGTAGCTAGTCCTTTGCAGAACGTCGCTCTCATCACAGTCTGCCTGAAAAAAACTCGGTCTCTCGCCAGTTCTCCCGCCTCATGCACTTTCACACTCAAGGAGCCACTTATATCCTGTGCCCATCTTCGTGTCGGCCGACCCCTGCGCCTCCTTCCTGGTACCATGCCTTCTGCTATAATTTTTTCCAACCCGTCGATGGCGCTTGATATGACCAAAATATTTCAGCTTTCGAGAAAGGATGCTGTTTATTAGCCAATCTTCCTTGATGTTTAGATCTTTTAATATTTCTCATCTTCTTTGTCCAAGATATTCTGAGAACAACTAGGCACTCCAAATAAAACTTGTCTTCATTAGTTGTTTTCCATAGTTGTCTCTCTGTGCCATTTTCTTTAACAACGTGTAGGTCTAGTTAAGGTCATAATTAACTCTTTGAGTCCCAAGGAACGCATCATATGTTCATAAGTTCCTACCTAGCGGCCCAATGAACGCATGATGCGCCGATTTTACATCTCTCTTGACTACTCCTTGGGCCTCTGATGCTAAACCCCCTGGGACTCAAAGAGTTAAGCGGATTTACTTTGGTAACCTGATTATCCCATATGTCTCAGTCTCTCTGCACAGAATTGCTTGCCCCCTGCCAAAAACACTGCACAAAGCAAGAACTCCGCAGCTCCAGTGGTGATCCCCAGGATCTCAGTAAACTCAACTCATGAAATGATCAATGTATCGGTGAAACAAACCCACAACTTTCAGAATGCAACAAAAATAGCTTGACCAATTTGTCATGGAGATCCCTCACCTATTCCCGTCTCATTTATGTCTCCTTTAAATAATTTATGCTTGCCTGTTTTAAATTTGCTTTTCCCGGTCTTTTGCGTCTTCTTTGTCCAGTGTTCTGTGTTTTATTGCTTTATTTGTTCCTATGCCTTGTGTGGCAGCTGGTCTTGGAGGGAAGTCTGACATGTGGACAGACATAGCACTACTAATCTTATAAGACAGCGTCTGCAGCACCCTTTTCCCCAGATATTTTAGTGTTACCATTACTATGGAGTAAACAAAGCAGACCTTGGTGAGGGATCATGCTGATGGACAACCTTGGCCTTCTCAGTGCTGCTCAGGCATTGTGCTGTAGAGAGGAGGAACCTTATTCCTGACTTCAATTGGTCTTGGAAATGACATGCAAGTCTTGCTCTTGCTAGTCACACTCACCATCGCCATAGGCTGTGTCTTCTATGCATCCCTGTAGCACAGTTTAATACCTTCATCTGAAAAGGTGCCAACAGTGACTTTCTCTAATGATTTGTTCCATCCTGACAACTTGTGAACCAGCAGTGATATTCATTGCTTTTCAGTTACTTCAACCTGTCGGTTTTCCTTCTGTATTCCTCCTTAAGAGTGTATGTCACACTTAGGCAGAGTTTTGTCTGGCAGTATGCAATGGTACCTAGCACCAGCACTTATTGAGGCATAAATATTTAGGCTACTGTAATGGACACTTTGTGGTGAGTACTAGCACCTTTTTGAAGACATTTTCTTTAGGCGAACATGGCACCTTTCTTCTAGAAAACAAGCCCTGCATGTTAATATTCATCTCAAAGTTGAGTCTCTGACCTCAGCGTGTATTTATCAAAGGCTTATATCCCTCCATGGTAATAGGCTCTGTTT